TTTTTTCTTTCTAAATTCATCGGTTTTCCGTAAAACTTAGAAATTTTCATTTATATTATATTGCCTATTGTTTACGTCAGCTACTTGGCTAATTTTGAGATATTTAAAAGGGTGGAGCAGCGGAAACATCGTTTACTCAATCAATCGACACCGACGTGTCGTGTTTACATTACAACTATCACTTTTGAATCGAGCCTAAAATTTTCACACCACACCCTATGTAATTATCGCGATCGTCTGCCTTTTCCTTACAGAGCATCGTCTTGATAACGCTCGTCGTCTTCGTCGCCGTCGCCTCGCGACTGCGAATTTCCGAGGCAGCTCCGGCACCCGACAGCGGAGGACACATCGAGCTACCGGGACCTGGCATCGCTTTCGGTGAGTTCTGTGCGTGACAAAAAAAAAATCATCGTCGTCCATCCAGCGTTGAAATCTCCGCGACGCGTCGTACGTACGCGAAATATACGTGTTTTCTCGTTGCGTCCAACTGCTGTCGCGTTTAGTCGCGCGCGCGTGTGACAAATATGTGTCAGGGCTGGAATTGGGTGCCAGTGTACAACATCATTAAATCGACTGCGTCTACCAGAGTGTGTGTATGTGCAATAGTAGTTAGCAGTAGTTGCACTCGCTTTGGCAAAAGGCAGCTGCTGCGAGCAGCAAATAAAGCTATTAAAGACTCTCGGGCAGCGGTGTTACAAAAAAAAATGTTCCGTCACACTCGCGCGATATACTCACTCGCCTCTCGACTAATGCTCGCCGTGCGCAATTTTTACGCGTCGATCATGGGGAAAGGGCTGGTGGCACGCGAACAAAAATGTGAAATTGTGCACGAAAAATCGTTGCGCTTTTATAAATGGAAATATACATATTATTTTACGTTTTTCGAATATGCAGACGCGTGAAAGTTTCCATATCTCAATTATCGAATCGTGTGTATATCAGCGAAGTAATAATTTTGAAATGATGCATGTTAATTTGCTCAGACTCATTTTGTTGCTCGTAATTTATAGAAATTATACTTTCGTTTGTACATTTGTAAATTTTTCATGTCATCGATTATCTCGATCGCGTGAAATGTACTCAACACTTTTCTCAAGTTACCTAAAAATTTTGCAAAAAAAAAAATATGCCCATTACCCATCATCGCTACCTTAACGCTGGCGATAATGGACTTTTCGCGCACATGCAGCAGTCGATAAAGTCGATCGTCGCTATACTGAACGTTTCCCCCTTCGCCTCGAGATCGGCAGATCGCTCTGGCGGTCGCAACTCCACGCCACGACGGGGGGGAAAAACTTTCTCTGCGCGTCCGCGAGACGACTCCTATTAATACACCGCATATAGCCGCTGCCGTGAAATTGAAACGAGCACCGATTTTATTCTTTACCAGCCGCCGCCGAGCGTAGTATATGTATACGTGCTGTGTGCAACGCGTTAATATAACAAGGCCTCAACGCGATTCCTTTCACTTTTTCAACGGCGCGCGAGCAGCCACTACTATATACTGCTCGCAGCACACACAAAACTTGCTTTACATATATTATAAATATCCATATTATATATAATAAAGCCAGCTAGGAACGAATTTCAGGCTCGTGGTGTTATTTTGCAGGACGAGTTTTTTTTTCAGCGGAGACGCGCAGCAAGCACGTGACATACGCGTGCTAATAACGTTTCCGCGATGAAACGTTTATCGAGTTTAATAATTGCATATTTTTCAAGAAATATCAATTATAGTCGCGATAAAAGCCCACTTAAAAATTCGTCAAACTATTTATAGATCATTAAAAAAAAACTCATTAACAAAATCATACGATAAAATTTGTTTGTTTTGCCCAGGCGCGCGAGTCCGAAAATAAAAATACACTCGCATGGGCTCTACAATCGTATACACACATTTTTGCACCAGTTCGAGCGATGACTCGTCGAAAAATCCGTGTCCGTCTGCGATCGATATTTAATTTTTCACCTAGTCACGTACGCCCATTATTGTATGGAATATGACTTTTTTACAGGTGGAATACCCTACGGTAGCGTGAGCGGAATGTTGGTCAATTACGGGCCTGCGGGACAACAGCCGGCCTATTACAATCCTACGTCCTACGGAGGTGGCGGCGGCGGAGATTTAGGCTCGCCGCTGCTCGTCAACTCGATCGGCTTCTAGGATATCGAGATCGAGATCCATCGTACCAACATCGCTACGAATCGTCGTGAATAGGAAGTGTGTATTAATTATAGCGGCTCGTTGCAACCGTATACACCATCTCGTAGTGGCTGCGATGACAACCTGACACACACGCTACGTTGCCGCAATGATACGTATCACGGGTATTAGCGCGGGGTCGTTTGTGCAACGACGTTCGATCGTCGTGAAACCGCACTTGGCTAATTTTGCGGCCAATCATGTAAAAAATACAACTAACATGTGTGCTCGTAGAGTATCTATACTTAACATTGAAAAATTACGTTTACTGGTATAGTATCGAGTGATAGATCGTCGCCGATGCTCTTCTTTCATTTTATGTTCTTTTTTTTTTTACACAACATATTTCTCGTTCGCTGTATACAGCTATAGATGTGGAATATTCGTAACAATGCTCACACTTATTTTTATATTTATAAAATGTATATAAAAGAGATTCTTTGAAATTGGCTTTTATTAATTGGCCTCGTATTATATGCACGCAGCAGCAGTCGCTTCTTTTGTAACTCCGCGAAGATGAAAATTAATTAAAGTGTCGCTAATTCGTCTTTTTCGGCTGTGCTCGTGTGTGTTTTTACTTTTTTTTTTATAGATCGTTATTCACGCATTCGGCCCATTGTGATGATTACATCGACTTACGTAACTTAATCGCGTCATGGATTCCTTACTGCAAAGAGAGAAAAAACAACAATTTTTATTTAAAAAGATGCCAAATAATGCGCGACGCGCGGCCGCATCGGCGCAAATAATTTGACGCACTTGCCTGTTTTATATATACGACTTTTCCCGAATAATAACTTAAGCCTGTACGCAATATACGTAATTTGCGTACGCGCTGAAGATGATTTCTAGAAAAGTATTAAAACTTGGCTAGTTCGCCAAGATTCTGGATACAGTGGAAAAAAAGAAGACGACGAATTTTTGTTTCAAACATAATATATATGTGTATGATATAGTTGCTGCGCCTCTGCAGAGCTACGGAAAGAAGCGTATGTATATCGAGTGAAGGACGACTGCTTCGGCCAAATCGAAAGTCTTACGAAAATAAAAAAAAAATATATGTATATAGCGGCGGCACACGCGCCTCGACGTTCGCGTGTACGTACATACAGCGCTCGAGTCGACGACTACTGACTATAATTCGCGTTTTAGCGAGAATTTGTCCATATAAAGTAAGATAAAAGCGGAGAAATGATGTTGTTTAGATCTGGCTCGAGTCTCGCGGCAGTTCCTGGATGATGATCCCGTAGCATCAAATGGATTTTTCGATTAAAAGCTCGAGGAGCTTTCAAATACAATGACCCTGTATGAATTACGATATTCATAAAAAGTCATTAGCTTGAATTACGTATATTTGCCGATTGGTCAATCGCGATATACAATCGTTGACAAAATATACATTATTATAAACCGCGCCGCAGGTTAAACACAACAGAAGAATAATAAAAAAAAATAAGAGAGAGAGAATTGATAAAAATGTTAATTATAGAGAGCTGGGATGTTTCAAGGGTAGCGCGTGCAATAAATAAAATAACATATTGCAAATATTATAAGGAATATAAATTATTAGGTGTGCTCGCGCGTCGACTCAGTGTAATATTATTACGAATCTCTCTGCGCCTCTTCTCTTCGGCCTAAGGTAAGAATGTTGTTTTCCCTCGAGGCTATATATATAATACAAGCGCGCAAAAGGTCGAAAGATGCAGATTAAGCTTTTTAGCCGCGCGCGTTTCGATGTTTTTTTTTTCACGACTTTTTATTTATTTTTTTGCCTCGTTTGGAATCAGCTGTCTTTGGTGGATAGAATTTTGTTAAAATGTGCAAATATGTAAGGATATATCAAAAGATGTAAAATCTCAAAGATTAGAGCTGCAGGATCCTGCTGACAAGTTGGTCGTACGAATTCCACTATCTCCTAGAAGCGTTACAAGCGCAACAGCAGCAGCAACAACAACAAAACACAGCGGCACAGCGAATATGCTCTATAACTTTCGTAATGTCCATGACGAATTTCGAGTTTTCTATAGCGTATGTGTGTATTTGCTGCTATAGTTTACGGCGTAAGGCGCAGGAAGATCGTTAGATTCGCTGGCTTACAAACGTGTACGTACGTACATGAAAACACGAGCTCGCGAGAATTGATTATTATTTTACTTTCCAAGACTCTATGCTCTCGTATATGTACTCGCTTGTCAGTCTGTGTGTGTGAGTGTGTTATTTTTAAAAGGGTGAGCTTTTCTCTTTTTTTTTCGAGGAAAAGTAAAGCGAGAGTGAAGATGTAACGCACGCGAAGGCAGCCGAGAGCCCGTAACGACACTAAAAAAGACATCTATACGAGGCCGTGTACATGATCGCGGCGATTCTGGGTTAAGTTTACATGGATTCTTGTGTCATATAATAATTTACTTACCCGCTTTACTTTATTAGAGTTATTCATCGTTTTAATGAAATAATGGATTTTGTTATAAACAAAATGAATGAAAAATTTAACTAAATTTTTATCTTTGGTTTATTACAAATAAATGACAAAAACCTTACAAATGTATAAAAATACAAGAAACATTCAAAACAATAACTCAATTCAATTAACCTAAAATATATAATAAGTAAAGTCTACATAGTAATATGATTCTGTTAATACTTTATATAACAATTTATTGTAAGTCTTTAATCAAAAAAACAAGTAAGTCTTTGGCGTTAAAAATCACAATTTGCCATCGGGATCGCGTCTAGTCACTCACAGTCGCTTACCCGCAAAAAAGCTCGCGTCGATACAATCGACCCGCGCGCAAGCAGCTCACATTATATTGCACGGCACCATCCGCTCGTTACGAGCCTCCCCCCCGTCCCTCCCAACACCCATCACTATCCAGCCCAGCACCGACTCCTGCAGCACCAGCCTGTCCCGATTGATCTTGATCCGCTTGTAGCTCGCCAGCAGCCTGTAGAACTGCTTCGCGCCGATGACCATGTCCACGCCGCTCGGCCGATCGAATCTCGGATCGGCCAGCTGCATCGAGCGGGGTATCTGCGCGCATCGCTCCCTCTCGCGCCACCTGAACCGGGGCGTTCTCGCGCGGTCGAGCTTGCTCGTCACCCGGCACAGCAGCCGCGTCTCGAAGTCGCCGAGCCGCGAGCGCAGCTTCACCTCGGCGAGCTCGCGGCGCTCGGCCGCCCAGCCGCAGACGAGTCTGTCCAGGCCCAGGCGGCGGCACGCCTCCCGAGATATCCAGTGCTGTGGCGAGTCCGAGTCCAGCAGGGCGCGACACTCGTGAAGCTCGCCACGGTGATCGTACAGGTGGACCAGCGCGGTAGGCCTCAACGCGCACTTGAAGATCATCGACGCGATCTTGTCGACCACTGGATTGCCGATATCGTTGCTTTTGATGGACGCGGGTACCACGACTTTGCAGGGTCGGGCCTGCAGCAACGACTGGTTAATGCGCAAGTGCAGCAGCTCGTGGTGCTGCTTGTCGCAGATCGCGCAGGCCGGCGCGCGCTTGCAGGCGGCCTCGTCGTGGCCCGGCATCAGGCAATTGAAGCAGCAGTCGAGCTTGAGCGCCGCGTTGATCCTCGCGTACGCGTCGAGCTCGACGAAGTGCCGACACTCCGCGAGGTCGTGATTGCCCTGGCACATCGGGCAGAGCTTTTTCGACCCGTCCCGACGTCTGCTAGACTCGCCGTTCGCCAAGCTGGTCACCATGCCGCGCAAAAACCTCATCACGTCGGACAGTTTCTCGTCCTTGGCGGCGGAGGTGGAGGAGGACGCGGCTCGACGCTCGCACTTTTGTCGCAGGAACGGGGTGAGCTTGGACTTGAGCAGATGCACCGTGAACAGATCCCAGGAGCCGACGGGAGCAGCCTGCAGACCACCGAGAGCACTGAGATTCTTGTCGAACGCGTCGATCAGTTCGCGCAACTCTTGCGACGAATTTTCACTCATCGGTTTTCTATTAAAAATCTCACTGATGTGATACTGCTTGAGCTCCCTCGAATTTCTAAATCTATCGTTGATCGCCCTCCAGGCCAGCCCGTAGTTCTCCGGCTTGAAGTCGATCGAGGAGATGAGCTGCGAGGCCGGCCCGGTAAGCGCGCGGCGCAGATAGCCGAACTTTTGCGCGTCCGTGAGTCGCTCATCGGCGTGCACGAGCGCGTCGAATTTCCGACAGAACTCGTCCCACTTGTCATAGTCGCCGTTGAACTTGGGCACCGTCGTGCGCAATCGACGCTCCATCGTCAGGAACGCGTACACTTTCGCCGCTAGTTCCGGATCATTGCTAGGCCCGCTCATGGTCAGGCTTTGTAACAATGATCGTCGCGCCCGCGAGTACTACGCGAATTTTCTGTATACGCGAGCAGTCGCTTCTGCCGTGATATCTGCGTCGTAACTGATAGAACAAAAAAAAAAAATGACGATGATGAAAATCTAAAAATACACCAGTGAGATCGAGAGCAGTTAGTGGGAGTAGTCTCGCTCGATCTATATTCGAACTTGCTCGTTTGGAACACTCGAGCAGAGGAAAAACGACGACGATTCGAATTGAAAATAACGAAAAGTTCGTGCAGGAAATTTTTTTTTGAACATTAATGTACAATAAAACAGATCCAAATAATTAGCTTGTAATTTTGTTTTGTCCAATTTAATAACTTATACACTTATTTTCATTTTATCACTTGCAGATTTACAGACGTAGGTATTCGCCATCTAGCGGCAGAGTCCTGAGGTGGTATTAACGTAATCAAAGTGATTGCAACAGGTATCGATTTTTTGAAACAGTTAAATTGTCGCTTTGAGGATATTTAAAAGAAGCTCAATATTTCTAGCATAATTGCAAGAAAAAAATCGTCAAAAAGAAAACAACACATAGTTGTTTATTTAAAAAAATTTCAAATCGTCATTTTTTGTTCATTTCTGCCTCTATCGATATCTAGTATCCTCTTACATTTCTTAAAAAATGTCTCTTGACGATCCGAGGACTTGGGATTTTTCAAGTATTCCCATTCTATTTTCGGCGAGTCGTTGTCGATCACTCGCACGTTGCCCGCCGCTATCCAGCCGAAAACCGTCTCCTGCCAGATCGGCTGGTCGGGATCGCCCGTGTCAGCGTGTCCTTGCTCGAGCAAACCACCGAAGGAGGTCGCGCCGAAGACGACGTCCACGGGCTCGGGGCGATCGAAGTGCGGATCCGCGAGTGTGACGACTCGCGGGATGCTTATGTCGCCGAGTCGTAAGCTCGGCTCTGGGTACTCTTTACAGTCCAGCTCGTCGACGACCACGAACCACATCGACGACTCGAAATTTCCGACTCTCGATTTTACCTTTACCTCGGTATACCCCAATATAGCTCTCTTCTTTTCTTCGAGGATATTGGTCAATTTTGAAAATTTCTTGGAGGGTGGATGCAACGGATGCCCTAATAGATCGCAGAGCTTCTTGCTCATCAAGTTAAGTTCGTCTCCGGTTCCCAAAAAAGCTCGAAAGCTCCGACTCTTGCCTTCAGTGTCCTCCGCGTAGGCCCGAACCGTAGCTCGCAGCGGATAATGAGTTTGAAAATTCGAAAAGCCGTCCGCACGATTATCTTTTATATCGACGGCTTTCAGCTGCAGTTTACTCAAGCGCAGAAGCTCGTGATCGTGATTTTCTTCGCGGTACTTGTCGAAAATTTCCCGATGCTTCGGCGCCAAAGAATTCAGGCAATATTCGAGCTCATTTACCAACTTGACGCGTCCTGGACACGAAATTTCACAGAATGTTTTGCACTTGTCCCAATTACCTTGATTGCCGTAACAACATACCGGGCAATGGTTCACTCCTTCTGCGGCGAAACGCTGCACTTCCATGTCATCGACTCTTCGATTCAGATCTTTTTTGCCGTCTCTTCTCTTCAAATACTTGTACTCGCCCTCTAAAAACTCGATCATCTCCGTCAGCTTCTCGGCCCTGCTCGAAAGAAAAAACTTCAATTTCCATCTCTTCTCGATCCTCGGCGGCAACTTCGAGCTCAGCAAATGCACCAGCAGCGGATCCCAGGTTTCGGTGGGCACCTGCAGCCTCTTCAGCGCGGCCACGCGACCGGCGAACTCGTCGATCAGTCGGCGCAAATCGCCGGCCGAGCAATCGTCCTCGCGCAATCGTTCCGAGTCGAACAGTTTCGCTACGTGATAACGTCTCGCCTCGCTCGGGTCGCCGTACTCGTCGCCGACTCTTTTCCAGAGCGTTGCGTAATTCGCTCCGCTGATTTCTAGCGAATCGATCAGCTGCGCTGCTGGCCCACCGGTCAACGAGTATTCCAGAAATGTAAATTTCTGTACGCCGGACAGGCCCGAGTCGCCGTCGACCAGCTCCGCGAACTTATCGCGAAATTCGATCCAATTTTCGAAATCACCGTTGAATTTCGGAATAATCAGAGCTGCTGCTGTAATTTCGCTCATCTTTATACTTTATTTCTTTTTTTTTTTTGCACTAATTTATTCACACTACTCTGCTCGTATTTGAGCGTTCATAATTGTATATCGCGGGATGTACGTACGCTCGTGAGCGATTCTAGCGGGCGACTGACGGGCCAAAAATGACTGATATTCGTTACGGATACATTAGATTATCAGTGGAAGTAGTTTTACCGGCTTATTTTGGGACGCCGAACACACGCAAGAAATGTATAGTTATTAGTGCCGCACGTTTCAAATTGAAAAATTAATAGAAAGTTCACTTAGCGCGATCTTTTTGCGCTAGAAAATTTTCTGACGACTGTGCGCGTCTCGAGCTATTATTAGCGAGAGGTTATCAAAACATGTTATTTTTATTTTGCCCATCATATCTTTCTTGGTAATCTCCTCCCGCTCGTCCACGCGGGAGCTTCGGCTTTTCTTCTCTCTCATTATGTACAAAAAAAAAGTATAATCAAAATCCGCCAATGGTATACTATTGTCAACGCTATTACGTTTTACGCCTTTTTTTTAATGGGCCACGCGTCGATCCGATGGTTAAACGGCGAACGCGATCGGTCTCAAGATCAAACGATATATCTTTATGTGTGTGGGCTTTTTCGCGCGCGACAGTTTTGTATCATATATAAAGTATCGCAGACGAGTGTAAACAAACAAATAAATTGTTCGCGGTTTGCAGATGACGAATGCGTAATTAATTCGTCTCGTACCGCGGGGCTAGTTTTAATTTCTCAATTTATTGGAATTTTTTTTTACATACGAATATACGTATTTTGCTCCCTTTAAATTGTCGCTCGGTGAATAAGCTTGATTCGGAATAAAAAAAGCTATTTTCGTAAACTGGGTCAAACTTTATGCGATAAAAATATATATTTAAAATTGATACAAAAAAAATGGATGTAAATGAGTCAACTAAGGAAAAAAACGAAAACACCATGTATTATGCAATTACAATCAATTTACATTTATTATCAATTACCAAGAAATCGTCGAGAAAATTCACATATCTGTTACCGCGCGTTGCAGTTCCGGCGTATAAATCTACCTCGCGATGCATCATCATCATTATTATCATCGGCGCAGAGAAAACTGATCCAAACGATCGCGATGTATCAAACAAAACGTCTCGGTTATTAACCGTTCGCACATTGTATTATGTATATTGGAGGCGTGCGCCACTTCCCAAGTGTTTCGCTTTCTTGAGTTATGTGTGCTTGTAAAAATGTATGTATATGGCAAGGTTGCTTCCGAGCGAGCGATTTACAGTTTGGTCCGTTCGATCGGGATAACAAGTTTCGATAGAACTAAGCGTGTCTTTCGAATCTAATAAATCAGGTTTAATGAGTAACTATGGGTCCATTACATCTCACGCGATTCGCGCGACTAAAAATTACATATTTGGTAATTAAATGAGACGTTGTCCTCTATTTTCTATTTTAAACTTTAAATATAGGAATGTAATCATATCATCAGGAGGGAGCTCTTTGCTAACGTTCTTTTTATATACCTTAGGTTTGACCAAATTTCATCATTTAGAACGTACAGCTATAAAAATAATTTTATTCGAAGTAAATCAAATTAAAATTAAATAAAATTGATCAATGACTTGATATTAACTTTATGATTAATATATATTTCAAAAATCTCTTGAAAATGTACATTATTATAATATTCCCTATATTATTATGGTTAATTTATATTGTTATGATCAGTTTAAGTTTTAAGGTATTTTTTACCATTACAGCTTTTTTCTTGAAAATGTCACGTAATGTGTATTCTTCTGTGGACCAAAACAATATGTTTTTTTTTAAATATATTTTTCTTGACAATAATTTTCCACAATATCGATATTTAGATTAGAATTTTATGAAAATAAGAGATTTTTAAGAATGAAATATTTCCTTATACATAGCAATTGTAATATTTCCGATCATTATGCACTGAATCAATATGGGCTTTGAGATTACGCTTTTGTGTAAATGATTTTCTACAGATGTGACATGGATGTTTGATACCATTATGTACTGAATCAATATGTATGTTCAGATCGCTCTTCATTTTAAATGCATTTCCACACATTTCACACGAGTAATTGATCTTTTTATGCACAAAATCTATATGAATTTTCCGTTTATTTTTTCGTGAAAATGTCTTGCCGCACGTATTACATGGGTGAGTTATCTTATTATGTACCGAATCCACGTGGCTTTTCAGATGATCTTTTCGTGAAAATATCTTGCCGCACGTGTCACATGGGTGAGTTATTATCTTATTATGCACTGAATCCATATGAAATCTAAGATTATACATTCGTGCAAATGTCTTTTTACATAAATCGCAAGTAGGAGTATTATTATAACCATGCAACGCTTTGACATGTTTCCTGAGAGTATCTTTTTGTGAAAATATCTTGCCACATGTATCACATGCGTGAGTGATCTTATTATGCACCGAATCAGTATGACTTTTCAGAGTAAATTTTTGTGTAAATGACTTTCCACATGTATCACAGTGGTAAGACTTTGAATTATTGTGCACCGAATCATTATGTCTTTTCAGAGTATATTTTTGTGTAAATGATTTTCCACATGTATCACAGTGGTAAGACTTTAAATTATTGTGCACCGAATCAATATGTCTTTTCATATAATTTTTCGTTTTAAAAGCTTTTCCACAAATGTAACATGGCTTTGCAATACGATTATGCACCGAATTAGTATGCTTTTTCAGAGCTGCTTTAGTATTAAATTTTTTGAAACATGCCTCACATTCGGTAGATTGTTTACTTTCATTTACTGGAGTGTGCATTTTCATATTTTCTCTTTTCAGTTTGCTGTCGGTAAATTTTACTATTCTCTCGGTTTCTACTTTAATCGACGGTGATTGTATTTCATCGGTTACCAACACACTCACATTGGGCTTCATATCTTTGCACTCTAATTCTATTTTGATTTCTTGGTTAGGTTGATTTTCATGAATTCCTCCGCCCGCTTGATTGGGTATTGATAAATTCACGTTCGGCTTCACATCTTTGCATTCGAACTCTACTTTAATTTCTTGGTTAGGTTGAAATCCATTAATTCCTTCGGGTTCTTCAAGTGTATGAATCTGTTATAAAATTCAAGTCTCGAATAAGTTTTGTTAAAAAATGATAAGTGAATTCACAGTAATCAATTAACTTACGGTGTTTTTTTGTTCACATCTGAGATATCGCAAATTTTTAGTATCAGCTGCTTGATTTTTCTTTCCGCTATCATCAATTTCGTTATAGCACATATCTTGAGGTTCTTCTTTTACTCTGAAAATATGAATGAAATGAAAAAACTAACTTTCTTATCTTGTTACATTGATTTTCACAAAGACAATTACTTGACCACATAGTTGACACTAGACTCCATTTTTTTAAATATAAACCCACTCGACTACTTTCCTATAAATCCAATGCAATGAAAAGTAATTAGTATTACAGATCATGAAATCTAAAGGTCGACGAGCTAACGTGAGCAAACGGAAGAACTGAACAATCCCGAGCGCTCGCAGTGTTTACAAATATTGAACAGAGTTGATACCAGCAGATGAAGTCAAGGTGGTAGAAAATTTATCAGTAGACGAGGTACACACGACGCGTGCGTATAATAGCTAAGAATTGTATTCGATATTTTTAAATCTCAAATTTGGAGCCATTACAAGTATACGCATGTGAGAAAAAAATTGTACAGAAAATAACAAGAACATGACAAAATGGCTTGTTTCTATCTGCATCTTTTTGTTCTAGACGTCGCTTAATTTTTGAATATAAGATAATTGTGTTTTGTTAATTTTGAAATTTCCTTGAAATATTATTGATCATATTCTAACGTCGCATCCCTGAACAAAACGATCTTTAACTCGTTGGATACACGCATTTATGGAAATCAAAGTTGCCATATCTGATTATGAGCTTTTTGATTCTATCAACAGATGGAGTATTGCAAACTCGCAAGTGGTAAACAATTTTTCGTAAGGTATATATTTAACCATTTTTCGTTTCGTTTTCTTTGAATGAATCTTCATGCAGCCATTGACATGTATTTTATAAGAAACCATTGTCTAATTAACGCGGAAATATCCTGCTCGAGACGATATTTTAAATTGCACTGCATATTTGTTCGTCGAATAGGAAATATTTCTAACTCGTTTCTTTTCGACACTTTGATCTATGGCCAGCTCGATGAATGAAAATATACTAAATAATTCGAGCAAGTATAACTTTGTATAAATTTGAAATTGATACATTATGTACGAATAATTATCGTGTCTCGTGATCGGATCCAACGGTATTTCGATCGTGTCGAGCGATTCAAGTTCGATGTAAAATATACATTCGAACTATTCTGGCCCAAGCTAATATTTCAATCATACAATAAAGCATCGAATGTCACATCGAAGCCTGGTACATATTTCCCAGTGTAAAGAGAACGAACGACGATGTACGAAAAAATTAGCACCTCTCTCGCCCGTTGTGATATATATCGTGTGGCTAAAGGACTGTATACAGTATATACACACGCGACCGAGTGATACACTAATACACGAGTCATGCCATGGGACGCGTCTATGTCGCGACGCAATAGCCGCAAGCGTGCGCGATTCCTGCCGCCGCCGCCTGAAGACGCAACGACGAAGCGACGTAACCGCTCGCCGTACGTATATGCACTTTTACGCCCCCTCCCTCGCACTTATGTATGCACGATGTATGTATACCTTTACGTATATGATAGCTTCGACCGCGTGTACACGCATGCATGTATAATATATATGTCGTTATACCCCGCGCGCGCTCACGCCATGCACGGCTAATACGACGACAAAGGCAAAAAAAAAGGAGGAAAAAAAAAACAACAGAAGAAACACAGAAGGCATAAATATGACTGCAACACGGATGGACGATGACAATTGACACGAGAGAGCCATAGCCGCGCGGTAGTAGGCGAGTGCACACACACAGAGAGAAAGTCATATATAAATGTCATTGGTTCGGCTGGCGCGCAACTTAGTTCTTTTATGAATAGTACCCAAGATGCACCACAGGACGCACGTAAGTTTGAAATACGATTTTTCTTGATTTTGATACGAGGATGTAGGATCGAGGTTTTGGTTTGGGTGCGTGTGCTATACTTACTTTGAGATACTTTGAGATTAGTGGATGAATCGATTGATTCCAATTAGGATATTTGATTGTATGTTTACGTGGGTGTAAAAGCAAACAAGTAGAGTCGCGCGAATAAACTCTAATACTAAATTTTTCCTAACGACCACGCAATTTTTTCAGAGAGTTTGTTTTACGTGACGCGATAATTATTTGCTAATGGCAAATAGCGTTGATCGAATTCGTCTCGGAGAATTACCGTTGCATCCGCACAAGAGTTTACACACCAATATTGTTAGCTTCTTATTAGCATAACGAATCAATTCTAAACATACTGCATGAAAAATATGAGAATGTGGGTCAATTTTTGTAAATCAATTATGTCGTTCTTTTTTCACCCCCAGACGCTTCTCAGCTGCGTTGCATGGATCGGCCTCGTCGCGAGCGTTAACGCCCTCGCCGTAAAGTCAAACGCTCGTAAGTATACGAATTAAACGAATTGAAATAAAAATTTTGAAATTATGATGAGCAATTTCAAGAAAGCACGAACCATGAATGAGCTGCGCAGTCGAGCGCGCAGCACCTGCATATTCAGCAACGTATAATTCCGCTCGTCAATGAAATCTCTTTATACGAATTAATTGCCAAACGCGTCGTACAGCCGCCGAAGCGCTTGGAAAAAGCGAAGAAGCGGCTTCGAGGGCGGCTAATTATTAATGTCTCTAAAAATGCGTACTTTAACATCGTCGCAGTTACACGAGTCGGAAAACGTTAATAACATAGATTACCGCGCGTCGCTAAAGAGAGAAAGAAGGAAAAATAATGATACGCACATGTACGTATACGCATTTGCATAACAATGTAATAGCCGCTCTCATGCTCATTCGGTCACTCGTTCAATTGCTAAATTATACCGATTTATAAACGATCCATCGTTGCCTATTTTTTTTTCTGGCATCGCAGCCTCGGAGACGTTGGCTCTGCTGGCCCACACGATCGGCACCCTGAGCGGCCCGCTGGAGAAGAGCTTGCAAGCCGACGGCAGCTCGACGGAAAAGACTCGACGTCAGGCAGACGGTCAAATAAACGAGCAGGATCAATCGAACAACAACAACGTCAATCAAGCCAACGGGCCGATCTCGAGATCGCCTCAAAATATCGCCGGTGGCCCGCTACCCTTCCCTCAATTCCACGGCGGAGGCGGTGGCGGCGGTAATTTCCCGTTCCACCAGGGGGCCGGCTTTCAATTCCGCAATCCTTACTTCGATCAGCGCCAGTTCGGCCCGCAGAACAACGGCTTCGGCCCGGGGGGACTCCAGAACGGATTTCCGTTCGACCCTCGTTTCTTCCAGCGACCCGGTGGTGGTGGTCCGAATCAGGGACAGTTCAACGGCTTCGGTGCCGGTGGTAACGGCGGGGGTGCTGCTTCCAATGGAGCCGCTGGGCCCAATGTCCAGGGCCAGAAGTCGTCGAAGCTGACCAACGGCAACGCGAACAACAGCAACGTTAAGGTAACAATCGAAAGATTATAGCTTGATTTTTTTATGAGTTTTTATGACGTATTTTTTTAATAGTCTGCCAACAATAACAATAACAACAACAACGGCGAGGGTAACAAAAGCGTCAATACCCTGGAGAGCATCGAGAACGGCGGCTCGGGCGACTCGAAATCCAGCGCCCAGAATTCGCGTCCCTTCCAAGCTGGGGGACCCTCGTTCCCCGACAACAACAACTTCAACAACGGCAACGGCGGCGGCGGCAACTTCGGCAACAACGGCAATTCTCAATTCCCACTGGACTTCCGGCAGAACTTCTTCAATCAGGGCAACCCGGGGGTCAATTTCGATCAGCGATTCTACAACTCGTTCAACGACATACCCTTCAGCAGCGGCCCGCCCTATAGATCGCAGGGCCAGTTGGGTAACGGCAACGACGATGGGCGATTTATCAATAATAATTTCAACAACAACGGTAGACCCGGAGTCAACGGAGCTAGTGGTGCTGCTGGTGCTGGCGATGTCAATGGCTTGAGGTATATAAACACAGAGCCGAGCGATGAAAGTTACAATAGATCGAGATGAACAAAAGTATAAAAAAAAAAAAGCTTACACGCGTGCGAGATATCTGCAGCTAATTTTGCTCGGAGTATCTCGATACGATTTTATTGCGCATTGAGAGCCGAGGAAAACAGCATTTCACGCTCGGCCGCTAATGACTTATATACGATATATAATAGCATAGACACTGACACGTATATATACAATCAACGAGCGGCTCGTTGCTCCGATTAAAAACGAAATCGGCTAATGCACACCCGCGCGTAAATCAAAGGAAAAGCATCTCGATAAAATTTAATGCCTCGGCTCGGAATCGTTATTATAAACTTTTTCTTCTTTTAATTATCCCCGGTGTATGTGTAGACCCGACGGTCTCGGAGGTGGTCTGGGCGGCGGCGGCATCAACAATCCGTACTTCAACGGCTTCGGTCCGGGTGCCGGCGGTGCGTTCGGAACCGGTGCCGGGGCCTATCCGCAAAACTTTAACGGCTTCAATGGACAGGGCTTCGACGGGCCCGGAGGTCCCTTCGGCGGCGGTGTAGGCTTCAATAACAATCGATTCGGCTTCTCCGGCCAGCCGAATTACCAGGGCGGCGGCTTCAACAACGACTTCTATCCGGGCATAATTCGCGGTGGTAGTAGCGGCGGCGGCGGCGGCGGTGGTGGAAATTTCAACGGTGGCGGTAGCTCCAATTTCGACGACGGCGACTCGACCCTGAGATCGGCCAGCACCAAGGACGAGCAGATCGATCAGGAGCTGCCGCAGCAGGTGGACGAGAGCACGGAAAATTCCGAGCTCAAGAGGATGACCGAGGCGGGGTCGGTGGTCACGACGGTCAACGTCGCTGCTGGCGAGGAGGAAGAGACGACGACGGCGGAGGAGAAGTAGCTCGACGATTAGACAGCAGTTCGGGCCCATAATTGTTTTTTTGTGTAATTTGACATTATACACTTTGTACTTACTACGTTTAATCGCTACGTTTTGTACTTTTAGCCTTTTTACCATAAATAAAAATACGTTTTAAAAACTCAATGGCCTTTCAATCCTTTCTTTTGATGCATAAATGATTAACTCGTAAAACGTCAAAGTCCACGTCAAAAGAGCTCCTCGCACAATCCAGTGGTCATAAAAGTCAATAAATCAATACATCGTTCGACGATCGATCGATCAACCGCAGCACACAATTCATTCACGCACTCGGACGCAGCAAATCATCGATGAACGAACCCACGATATACAGCTGCAGCGATCGAAATATTTATGCAGCGAGAAAGCCACGATGTATAATACAGAACAAGAAGCTGCCGTATCGATGTACATAAACTTTGCATATAACGACGATTAATTTAAGCGAGACGCTGCTACTATAACGAGATCGCGTGGGTGCGTGCGCGAATGCGCATCGCCGAGGTATATGTATACGGATGTGTGCGTGCAAGCGACAGTTCGTGTCGCACACGGCTCTACACAGGTATGAGAATCGATCGTCTTGTATATGCGATATGTCGCAATCGTCGTAGCAACACTGCGCTAAGCAGAGCTCCTCCCGCGCGTTGCATAATGGCTCTCGTTGTTTCTTTTCACCGATCTACCGTGCACGCGAACGCACGCACTTATAGATCGAGCTCGAGCTCGAATCGAAACGAAGCGCGTGAAGTGTTTGCCAAATTGCCTTTATTGACGCGTCGCGACGCGAACAGGTATATTAAAAGTATACGCACATGGGTAATTTTTTGGCTGCTCGCTCGGGACACGCGCGAGCGTCGACCGACGTACATACAGCAGCGCTTGTTCGATGAACTTCTTCTTTTATTTTTCCTTTTTTTTTTTTTATTTCGTCTCGACGCGCTCGCGGGACACTGACGCATTCGTCGCGAATGCGTGAAATTTGCGAATAATACGTGTACCATACGTATTTAATTCCTTCTTCTTCTTCTTTTTTTTTCTTTATTTTTAAGCGATATCGCGTATATTACCGTCGAGTATGTGTGTGACCTGATTCGACGCGCGGCAAGGACGAGCTTTTGCGCGCGTTATATTACGAAGAGCGGCCCCAAATGAAATCGATGCTTCGCGTATTTGGATGCGCGTAAAGCTAATTTTATATTCTCACCCGCTGTAAAATATTGCGCGTTTTTCCTTTCTTTCATTCGCGCGGATGAGCCAAGAGGTCACCGTTAAAATGCAGTACTAATAACAAAAAAAGGCATTAATCCCAGGGAGAAGAGATGTAAGGCGAATAATGTTTTGCTCGCGAGGGCCAATGCGATTGAATCGATTTCGATCCTGGGAGAAATGATCAACGATCGTGGGTAGTTTTTGACTAATGTAAAATGTCTTTTTGATATGAGAGAGACGCATATGTATTCTTTCAATTCTTTCAACTCTGACTTATACAATTACTTTTACTTTGTCACTTGCGGATTTACAGACTCAAGATACTCGCCATCTAGCGGTAAATGCTTAAAGTGATTGAAAACTGGTTGAAATGTTTGAAACGATCAAATGACATCCTCGGGTCATTTAAAATGCCCTCAATCATTGTAACATAATTGTAACAGAATAATTGTAACGTACTTCAAAACATTCCAAACGGTCAACATTTTTGGCCATCGGTCCATCGATCAACGTTACACATAATTTTTACCAAGTAAACCACACGCATCCATGTACAATCCAACAACGACGATAATACTCGCTCGCCATAAGACGTTATGGGAACGCGAGCGAAGGAGAAAACAATCGTTCGATATGCGTACACACTCACACGCATACAGTTACATAAAAATAAAAAAATGATCCATTATATAAGTCACAAATTGGAATGTCAATGAGTCCGGCGTACAGCAGTAGTACATCCGGCGATTTGAGAGCTCGCGCGTCGTGGAGAAGAAGCGATACCGTGAGCTATTGTATACGTGTATTATTATACTTGTATGATACTCGCTACTGAAGAAACATGGTGTTTTTTGTTGTTGTTGTTGTTGTTGTTGTTGCTGCTGCTCGCGCGCACGACTCATCCTTTCTTCGAGGCGTGTAACAATGATAATTCATCAACGAGTTCATCGCGATCGATCATAATATATACGACTCCGAAGGATAGATATAGAAAAAAAAGTATATACATTTAGGTGGTACAGAAGCGACGAAGGAATCGGTCGATTAGTATCATTATCCGCGCTGTAAATCCGTGCCAGTAGTCGAACTAATTAGACGTATATACCACAGAGCAGCGATTAGGCACTATATAGGAATCGATCCTCGACCGATGAATTAATCTTTCGTCTCTCGAGCTAATCATAGATGCGTATACGTATTAATATCGTATGTCGCAAGACGCGCTGATTACAGATGTCACACACAGGCTCGAAGACAAGGGCGTGGCCACGTATCGCTGCTCATACGGGACACGCGCCGTTCGATTTGCAATGCACATCGGCGTACATATTCGGGCGTCAAGTGCAGCGGTGTGAACTTGTCCTACTCTTTTTCCTCTTCTTCTTTTTTTTTTTTCTCTCTCTCTATGCATCGCCGATATCGCCGCCGCCGACGCCGCTGAGCTCGTTTCACAATGATATATTATGTATACGTGTGTGTGTGTGTGTGTGTGTATGTGCCTCTTGTCGCATGTGCCACACAACGCACGAGGCACAATGCAACTTATTATTATCGAGGAGAATTATGTGTACGAGGACGCGAACGCGCGCGCGCACTTGCTCACAGAAGAAAAAAAGAAGAAGAAAAGAGAGCCGACGAACGAAGACGAAGAAAAGTATCGAGAGGGGGTGGACGATGGACGGTATCGATGATTGCAACGATAGACAACGACGCGGATGCACACAATGCACGGATTCACTCGTTTTCGCGGCAAAACCTTTATAACGCAGTTACCGAGCTTGGCTCGGGGTTAGAAAAGTCCCGAGCTCGCTGCAAGCTGCATCGCATCGACACTCTCTCGCACAGTAGCTACGAAGATCGTTCGTTCTTCTGCTTCGACTTCGCTTCTTTTGTTTTTTCGTTCGACGAGCTTTGAATAATTAGACGCAATGGCTTCATCGAAGATGGTGAGTATCGGCATTTTTATCGAGACTAACTTCATCGTGAAAGAAATCGTGCAACTCGTGACGTAGATCGATCAACCAGTTTTGTTATGAATTGAATACTTATTTATTGTGATTGTCAATTGGAATGAATTAAACAATTTTATTTTATAAAAAAACAGTGTTACAAAACTTTCGTGGCAAATTTACAAAGTATTCACCCTCTTACAGTAATGCTCAATATTTTATGGTTAGTTTTTGGGCAATGATGATGTATCTCCAATTACTTTCAAGTTTGCTTCTTTAGATTGCTTCTTATTTATATAAATACTTTTAGCTACCCACTAGCAGATTTACAGACAAAGATACTCGCCATCTAGTGGTGGACGCTTAAAGCAGTTGTATCAAACTTTAAACTGTTAAAAACTGATCTAATTTTTGTGAAACAGTTGAATTGCCACTTTTCAAGTCATTCGAAGGGCGCTAAATATTTCTAACACAATTGTAACTGAAAAATCGCCAAAAATAATTGATCAATGATAGTATGCCTTTTTAAATAGTCATTTTCCGTTCAATCGATTATTATTCGCGTCGAGCACATTCCACCAGGTCAGCTGTATAGAGATCTTTTGAAACGAGCTCGATATTTCATTTTCACACTGCTACTCTCGTCATCGTTTCTCGATCGGTTCGATTAATAAATCGAACAATTTTTGTAATTTCCAATTCCAGAAATTAATCCTCTTAATTAATTGAGCAAAATCGTGTAATACACATTGCGCGCGCGCGCGCTCGTGACTTTCTACTATCCTTACATAGTCGCGTATTTGCTAAATTCAATGCAAAAAAAAAAGAAGATGAATAAATGCCAATAAGATCCACGCGAACAAAGACAGCTTCTCGAGTCTCGGACGTTTATTGCTAAATAATAATCGATAAATCAAACGCGCGCTTCGTGATTGAAAAACGGCGTCGATCGTTTGTCCCGATCGAACGCGTTAAACGGTCGCGGCTTATAACGTTTATTTCACAAACGATCGATACCGATGCATAAGCCGATTTTTTTCTCACTCGCAGTTCTTGGCATTCCTGCTGGTCGTCGCTCTCGCCTCGCTGGTCTCGGCTAAGCCGGGCTACTACGGCCTCGGCTACTACGGCGGCTTCGGCTACGGCGGACTCGGCTACGGTGGGCTCGGCTACGGCGGCTACGGACTCTACGGCGGCTATCCGTACTACGGCTACTACGGCTACAGATACCCGTACTACGGTTACGGTTACGGTAAAAAAAAAACATTAACTCAACTCGAATTTTCAGCACCGTATTGAGACACGTTTATTTTTTTTCTCTGCACAGGTTTCCCGTACTACGGCTACTACGGCCATTACTACTAATCGTTGAAAAATTCATCAGGACCCCACCGTACTATGCATAATCAAGCCTAACACGGTTCCGGCTGCAGTCCGAACGCGCTACGCTACGCTCTTACGTGTGTTTTTGTACGCATGAATGTGTGTAATATTATGTTATCGTCGGCACAATTGTACGAACTTCGATTCGAACGAATTGGCTCGAAGATCAAGATCAGTTCGAGACGATCGCAGACCTCTGTCCGTCTGTGAATTATCCAGCTCTCCAATTTTTTTTATCTGATCGAAGTGCACCTTCTCCTCCTCTGTCTGTCCTTTGCCTCTTCGTTCTTTTTTTTTTTATACTCTACGCAAGTTTTTATAAAATATCCATGAAGATTTCACACGAAAAAAAAAGAAAACAAAAAAATAAATAAACATATAAAAAGTATACAATTCTCGTTAAAAATATTTCATATTCGTTGTACATTATTGACATTACATATAATTTATTTATGCGTATTTATGGTATTACGGCGGTGACCCCGTGTGCGAGCGTTAATTGCATTTAGTCGGCCGCGCGGATAACGAAACCCATCGTATACGCGAGAGGCTAAGCTTTCTTTTTTCACGGATTCTTCATCATCTTCTTCTTCTTTTTCTTTTTTTTGATGAATTACGGATATTTCGTGGCCTGCTGCTCGCGGCCAGTGTCAACATATATGCCTCGGCACGAGATAGATAGAGCGAGAGAGAGATAGAGAGAAAAAAAATCCATAATTAATTAACGCGCATTGCTAAACAAGGAGAAAAATCATTGAATTTCGTTATATGTTTACCGCCCATCAATCGCGTTTAAATATTCAGCGCGCGGCCGGGATATATTCTGTAAAGCCGAAAGACGACGACGATGATGATGATGAGCTCCGAGTCTCTCTCTCTCTCTGTATGTGTCGTATGAAATGCGTTTTGAATGTAGTTATGCGACGGCATCCCAACGTCCTTGCCGGGAACATTTCGAAGAAATAAAACGTTCAAGGTTGCGCGCGCCTATATATATTAAATATACACACCGTGTGTGTGTGTGTGTGTATCTTCGCGTTGCAGCGACTGCTCGTGGATTCATATTGGAAGCCCGAATTAAAGATATAATGTTCAATTTCAAACGGGCTTACATTCAATCATTATTATCTTTTTTTTTTAATATCGAATAAACGTCTCGACGTTTTGGGTATTTTCGGTGATCGCACGAGACGAGCATTCGGCACCCGAGCAGTAACGAGGTACTACCAAGCGCTGGAAAAACTCGCTCTTATCGCGAAACGCGTGCGTGCGAACTGCTCGTACATATAATGAGAGATGCGCCCGCAGTCGCTTCAATTGCGCTTTAGAAAGTGAATTTTAGCGCCACACGATTATCTAATTATAAAGTAAGATCCTCTCGCTGCTGCTGCTGCTGCTGAAGACCAACGATTACGCTCCTCGGCGAGGCGCACGCGTTAAACGTTGAACTAGTTCTCGAGATTGAAAAAATAATAAATGTTAATTTTTTTCTTTTTTTCATTGACGTAAATATTGAATGATAACGTCATTGTCGATCGTGAGAATCAATAAACGTGAATCGCATAAATAACCTAGTCGAAATTGTATTTTTGGTACCGATTATCGAATTTAATGATTTTGTTTTTTTTTTTTTTTTCAATTTAATAATTGCGGGCAAAATAACGAGAACGTAAGTATGTTCTTCAAGACTCATCCGTTCGACTTTTCAAAGGTATTATACCATGGGATCATAACTAGGCTAAATGAACGATGATTACAATGATAAAAAGTTTGCGCATCCGTACGAACGACTATAATAATATGATAATGAGGCGACCGAACGACCTTGCGGTCATTTCAATTTTTTTTTTTTCCTCGTTTTCAAGAAAGTACAAGTTGGCAAACCTCCTTCGTCCGCGAGCCTACACACAGGCAGAGAAAACAAACGAAGATAAAGATATGAGCTGGTTATACGTCTCGCTCCTTTTTCGGATATTTCCTAAGTTTATTGAAGAAAAATTACAATAACGTCGATCTTCGATATAGTCAATTTTCGGCCGCTACATAATAGACACGATATTATGTAAAAATTTTGCGCGTGAAAGGTTTTTATAGATAAAAAAAGAACGAAGAAGCGAACGAAGGAGCTGCTACGAGAATTTATGACGCAATTCGTAAGTTTTATAATAAAAAACCGAAGTTATATTACCAAAATGTGTATCGCACAATCTACTGCCGCGGATTCCGCGCTCGCCGGGTTTGAATTAAAAGATTCACCGAGAGACGCACACACATTCAAGGACGACAAATCAAGTTTCAAAAAAGGACGATCGCGTTCGAAATATATATTTTTTTTTCTCTCTTTCTCGCCAATTTTATTTTTATATTATTTTTTATTTCTCGTTCTTCGACGAGATTCTTCCCCGTGCAGGAACGAGCTCTGTCTCGATCCTCGTTCTCCTTTTGGCCGCTCGCGCGCGCGTGGATGATACTTTTTTTCGCCATCGTGTACATAATGTGCATCATATACCTCGACAACGAGATTATAATATCGCAAGCCGAGAGCCGCATGTGCAGAGCCGAAGGAAGTCACGGTCGCCGCTCGTATCGTATGGTGGTTGCAGTGTATGTACAATAACGCAGCGCAACGAGGATTATCGGCGAAGAACCTGCGCGAGATTCATACACCGGTTTTTCGTGGAGATCCGCACGCGGCGATCCCTAAGACTCGAGTTATATAGACAATGAAACTTGAGCGCGAGCGATAATTACTCGAGCGCCACAAAGAGTCGTTTGGAAAATTGGCGCGCGTTTTGAGCATATACAAGACTCGCCGTATAATCGTTTCACAAAACGGATGTCGATGAGGCTAAAATAACTTTTGGCCCGATGACTAAGCCTACTTCTCGTATATATAATAAAACGAGGCATAAAAATGCAATTATAATAGTCGAATAAAGTAGGAATTTTTTCACTTTCAAGGAATAATACTGTATACGTGTGCGAATTAATTTTTTTTGGGTTATTCCGAGGATAAAATCGAAGCTTATGTACATTTCGCACACCTTGATTCTCTCCTACCCCCTTCGAAAATTTAAATCGGTTACATTATATACGATACGTATCCGATTGACAAACGACTGCAGATCGGTATATAGAGATCGATTTTTAACCGATCTCTGCATCGCGACTCCTCACGGTCACTCTTCGATCGTGATCAGCTCTCCCTGATCTTGAAGCGCTCCCTTAACCTCGAGAGAGAGAGAGAGAGAGAGAGAGAGAGAGAAAAATTATGTACCCATCCGATCGAGATCGGTATACATGCCGCAGCGCATCAAACAAGTGTGCTGCCAATTGGCCAAACGTATATCGTGTAAGCTGCGTCCTTCTCGCGAATCCTCATCTTCATCATTTCTCCTCCCTTCTCGCGGGCCATCTTCTTCTCCTCTCAGCTACAGCAGTTACCACCGCGACGATGTTCGCAGGTGTGCCTCGCCTATGTATGTGTCTGTGTGTGTATACGAACACACAGGTACATCGATGATCGTCCATCTCCGTCGCCGCCACCGCTGCCGCCGTTGTGGACCGCGAGCTACTACTATATATCGCATATACACACGGGCGGTTTCCCCTCCTCCTCCTACTACCGATATATTCCTCTCTTCGCGCGCATCATCGGCCGTCATCTCGTGTATACACGCACACACACTTACAAAATCCGCGCGCGAATATCGTCAATCGAGCGAATCCTATAAATGGTCAAACTCGCGAGTTCACGCACAAGTTCAAAAGCTCTCGTCGCGAGCGAGAGACAGGCTGCGCGTTCCGCTGTCCGTCCGTTCGTCCCGAGGACGTCGTGCCGCGTCGTCGTCGTCGTGTTTCAAATGTGTCAATAGTGCGCGTCTACTGAATCGGTGGACCGGCTATTAGAAAGAAAAAAAAAATAAGACAATAACGTCAAAAGTTGTTTAAGTGTCAAACTCAACGCAGGCCAATCATGGTAAGTAGCTGCAGTGTGTGTGTGTCGTCCGATTGCATTAGTCGGTTTTTGGACTCTGTCTCACAAGTGCGTGCGTTGACGATAACATATACGTATATAGTGTGGATTTTACTCTCTCTCTCTCTGTCTCGAAAACGAATCGACGAATTTTTATAATTACACGTAGTTACGATAAACTCTCGTTAATTTGCCCGCTAAAAGTGCCACCGTTACTTTCGCGGTATATTAGAAAAGAAGCACCGCGGTAGCGTCGGGAGACGCACGCAGCAGAATCCGCGCGAGAGAAAGAGATGAAAGTGTGATAAACAAGCGAAACGTTAGGCGTAGAGAGAGAGAGAGACGGCGACGTCGCAGGCAGATGAGAAAGTACCGCTACCCATAATTAAAGCCATTGTATATGCTACATCGTCGACCGAGCCAAAGTGACAATATAATAAAGTGCGATAACGACATTTGCATGTTACATTATTATTATGTGCGGATGGGCGAATTTTCCTTACGTATGACGTTCGATGTGTATACGGCTTGTTTGAGGAAGCTCCTCATTACCTATAGAGCACTTGCTACATCCTAAAGTCGTCGTTTTCGCAATCGTGGCGTTTGTTTTATTTACTCGTCTCGTGCATCTCTTGACTTTCATCTCTTCGAGTGGTTATTACGATAATACGCTCGCTCGCTCGTTTGTACATCGATAAAATAACAATAATTATAATAAAAAAAGAAAAAAAAAGAAAAATAGTGCCGAGCGTGGGCGTGCAATGACCAGGAGTCATCCCGTCGACGATCTCACGAACGCCAAGAGAATGATAACGCTGTGCATCTTGATCGTCCAGACGCTCTTCGTGCTCTGGTGCTTTTACTACTTTCTGGGCCTCATACTGATCGCCACGGCGATAAATTTCATCGCGAATAATTACGATATCGCGGGCTCGTTGAGGTACAGCCGATTTGTCATCGGCGTTTACCGTTGAGAAGTAGTGGGCGCGACACGACTCTTTTTTTGCCTTGCTTAGCCACATGATCGAGAGTTATAACGGGTTAACCGGCGACTTATTACATTATCGACCGTAATTAGGCTTTTGTAAATACAATTTACGCGTGTGCGAACGAGAGGTCTTCGAGAATATGACTCGTTAATGACACTCCGGTGAAATTATGAAACTATTGCGCGATCGCAAATTTATCACACCCGTGTGGATGTTTTAATGGGCCCGTAAATTTTCTTAACGCGCGTTGTATCAATAAGGTGCGGGTGGATTTTCGTTTATCTCTCACTCTCTCGTTAAATTGACATTAAATCATCGTAAAAATAATAAATCCTACGGATTATTTGCACTGACCTTCGAAGTACTCTGTAGCTTCGTCAGGAAGTGAAAAGTAAGTAAATGATATGCAGAAAAGTGGTAGATGAAGTTTCCTAATTTTAATGGGGGGATAAACGACGATTTAGATATAGAATTATAAGTACTAAGTCACGGCAAAAATTCATCGAATATCTTTGCGAATATTATAATTTCAGCGCCAGCATGAGATAATGATTCAAATATTCCCCGTCTCCTTTCGAAATTTCTATACGTACAGATATAAACTTAATGAATTCATGATTTATAATTAATTTATTCAAATCTTTCGTAATATTGAATTTGAGCCGCGATGTATCGTCGACAACCTAATATTCATCTTCCATAGCAAAATATCATTTTGCACTTGCGCAAAGAAAATTTATAACATAATATAAATTCTATAAAATATATAGTAACAAAAACAAAAGGTTCGGCGAAATAGAGTGAAAATGAATTTTTGACAAATAGAGAGTATTTAAAAAGAATTTGCAAAAGCAATGCGTATAGAAAAAATAAGCTCATAAGCTCATTTCGTGACATAACATTATTAACAGTAATGAAAATGTGATAATCGAGTTACGCTGAAAAAGTAGGTAAGAAACACACGCGCTCGGTAACGTGTAGGTTCAAGACGTATGCGTGAGTGCTCGTAATGGAATTTCGAAAATTTAATATTTACCCTTGAAAATTGATTCTAAAACTCAGAATTGACGCGAATATTGAAATTGCAAAATCGAAGAATAATGTACAATTTTGCCTGGAGGCAAAGACGCGTAGCTTCAATACTTAAATTAAAATAAAAAATGTATAAAGTTTAATTTATCCTTTATTTCGCAATTTCGAGCGAATCGTTTCTTTATTTCATGCAAAAATTGAATGAAAGATTATTTCAGAATGTCGATTTCAATATTTAGCTATTTTTAAACATTCAGATACGTTAAAACTCACATGTGATGTATGATAATTTATTCTCTTTAATTAATTTCAATACAATGTTATCAAAAACTAAAACAGCCCATTTTGCAATATTAAAGTAGCTTTATTTCATTTAATGCGTTTATTAAAAGATTAAATTTTGACATTTTAACAAAACAATTTAATCATAAACTTGATTTTTCAGTGGAAGCTCTTATTGACTGCCACCTTCGTGGCAGTTATCGCTGTGGGCAATGCCCAGAGAAGCGTAAGAGCCTACGACTTCGACAACACATTGGAGGACCATGAGGGTTATAACTACGAAAAACCACAAAAACCCTTCCCAGAAAGACAGTAAGTTATTTTCAATAACTCTTAGGAGCTTTTAATCAATTTTTAAAAGTAGATATTATAATCAATATTTTAATTCATTAGGAAACCAAACAGAGGTACAAGACCACCTCAGGTACAAACTTCTTCGTTCAAACCGTACTCCGAACCACAGCCGTTGTCGGAGGATTCTTATGAATACACCGTACCAGCGTTTGAGTTCACGAAAAAACCACGCAAGCCTGTAACTACACCAGCTCCAAGCAAAAACAATGCAATTGAAGAGACTGGATACAACTACCCACAACCAGGAAATCAATATCCATCGGTTGAAAAAGATGCTTACTATTACGAAAAACCAAGTGTCAAGTTCCCAGCCGTAGTAAGCACTACGACTACTCAGAAGCCATACGTTTATGTGCCACCGTCGACTACTCAGGCACCCAAAGTTGTTCCAAAGGAAAAAGATGCTTACTACTACGAGAAACCGGAAGTGAAATTCCCAGTTGTAGTCAGCTCTACCACTACCCAAAAGCCATACGTTTATGTGCCACCATCAACTACCCAAGCACCTAAAGTGGTACCGAAAGAAAAGGACGCTTACTACTACGAGAAACCGGAAGTGAAATTCCCAGTTGTAGTCAGCTCTACCACTACCCAAAAGCCATACGTTTATGTACCACCATCAACTACCCAAGCACCTAAAGTGGTACCGAAAGAAAAGGACGGTTACTACTACGAAAAACCAGAAGTAAAATTCCCACCAGTCTTCAGTACTACCACTACCAAAAAGCCATACGTCTATGTGCCACCATCAACTACCCAAGCACCTAAGGTCGTTCCAAAGGAAAAGGATGCTTACTACTACGAAAAACCGGAAGTGAAATTCCCAACAGTCAGTACTACCACGACATTCAAGCCAATCTACGTAGCACCAGTAACTACGCGAGCACCAGCTAAAGTTGTGACAGAAAAGGAAGGTTACTATTACGAAAAACCAAAAGTAGAATTCCCAGTAGTAGTCAGTACTACAACTACTCAAAAGCCAGTCTACATTCCACCATCAACTACACAAAAGCAGTACGTGCCACCATCAACCACCCGTGCACCTGCTAAAGTTGTGACAGAAAAGGAAGGTTACTATTATGAAAAACCAAAAGTTGAGTTCCCACCTGTCGTCAAGACTACAACTACTGAAAAGCCATACGTGCCACCAGTCACCACACGTAAGCCTATCTACATTCCACCAGTATCCCCTACCACTCAAGCTCCTAGATACGTACCACCACAGACAACTGGTTATACTTATCCAACACCCCAGGAAAGAATCACTTTCCCACCAGTGACTACCCGTCAACCTACCACTCAAGCTCCAAGGTATGTTCCTCCTCAAACAACCAGAGCTCCACCAAAGTATGTACCACCACAAACTACTCAAGCTCCTAAATACGTGCCACCACAGACAACTGGTTACACTTATCCAACACCTAAGGAAATATTCACTTTCCCACCCGTAACTACCCGTCAACCTACTACTCAAGCTCCAAGGTATGTTCCTCCTCAAACAACCAGAGCTCCACCAAAATATGTACCACCACAAACTACTCAAGCTCCTAAATACGTGCCACCACAGACAACTGGTTACACTTATCCAACACCTCAGGAAAGAATCACTTTCCCACCAGTGACTACCCGTCAACCTACCACTCAAGCTCCAAGGTATGTTCCTCCTCAAACAACCAGAGCTCCACCAAAGTATGTACCACCACAAACTACTGAAGCTCCTAAATACGTTCCACCACAGACAACTGGTTACAATTATCCAACACCAAAGGAAATATTCACTTTCCCACCCGTAACTACCCGCCAACCTACCACTCAAGCTCCAAGGTATGTTCCTCCACAAACAACCAGAGCTCCAGCTACATACGTTCCACCACAAACTACCCGAGCTCCACCAAAGTATGTTCCACCACAAACTACTCAAGCTCCTAAATATGTTCCACCACAAACCACTCAAACTCCAAAATATGTGCCACCACAAACAACTGGTTACACTTACCCAACACCCCAGGAAAGAATCACTTTCCCACCAGTAACTACCCGTCAACCTACCACCCAAGCTCCAAGGTATGTTCCTCCACAAACTACCAGAGCTCCACCTAAATACGTTCCACCACAAACTACTCAAGCTCCTAAATATGTGCCACCACAGACAACTGGTTACACATACCCAACACCTAAGGAAATATTCACTTTCCCTCCAGTAACTACCCGCCAACCTACCACCCAAGCTCCAAGGTATGTTCCTCCACAAGCAACCAGAGCTCCAGCTACATACGTTCCACCACAAACCACCCGAGCTCCACCAAAGTATGTTCCACCACAAACTACTCAAGCTCCTAAATACGTTCCACCCCAAACTACCCAAGCTCCTAAATATGTGCCACCACAGACAACTGGTTACACTTATCCAACTCCTCAGGAAAGACTTACTTTCCCACCAGTCACTACCCCAAAACCAACCACTCAAGCTCCAAGGTATGTTCCACCACAAACAACCAGAGCTCCAGCTACATACGTTCCACCAACCACTCAAGCTCCAAGGTATGTTCCACCACAAACAACCAGAGCTCCAGCTACATACGTTCCACCAACAACTCAAGCTCCAAGGTACGTTCCACCGCAAACAACCAGAGCTCCAGCCACTTATATTCCACCAGCAGTAACAACTCAAGCACCCAGATACGTTCCACCACAAACAACTAGAGCTCCAGCTACTTATGTTCCACCACAAACTACCAGATACGTTTACACAACAACCACCCAAAAACCTTACACTTATCCCAAGATTGAACTGCCAACCACAACTAAAAGGCCATCATACACATACTTGCCACCGGGTCCAGTAACAACACGTGCTCCTTACGTGCCACCAGTAACCACACGTGCACCTTACGTGCCACCAGTAACCACACGTGCACCTTACGTGCCACCAGTAACTACACGTGCACCTTACGTGCCACCAGTAACTACACGTGCTCCTTACGTACCACCAGTAACCACACGCGCACCCTACGTGCCACCAGTAACCACTCGCGCTCCTTATGTGCCACCAGTTGTCACTCAAAAACAAACTTACTTGCCACCAAAGACCACCGTCACAACACCCCGTCCAACTTCCTACCTGCCACCCAGAACTCCAGCTACCAATGCTCCAGTTCGTCCACCCGCGTACTTGCCACCATCCACCGCAAGGCCCGTTTACCCCACGGTAACGGCCCCACCACTACCACCAGTTGTCTACACATCCACTCCACGCGTCGAGGTAACTTACAAGCCAGTTACCGGCAAACCAGCGCCACTCATCCCCCTCCCACCTAGCACACAGAAACCCACCACGGGCTACAACTATCCAATTCCAGAACTTGCATTCGACTTCTAAGGACTCTTTCGCGCTACAATAGTGTGATATATAAATAATTTATTGTTTTCTCGACAGTCTTTTAGATATTTTTGTAAAAAATAAAAATGAAATGAAAAAATATTACCGACGAACAATTGTGAACGACCGTGTCAAGTCGTACGTGTTTTCTTTTTTGTAAACAAACTTAGGATTATATTTGAAATAAATATAGACGATTGCTAGGCTTTTCTACGTTTTTATATACTCAATTTACTTAGCTATATGGGCAACGATTGTAAAATCGTGCCAGTGTTGTGTTCAAAGAATGAATTGTTAATGATAGACGAAACTGATTAAGAATAATCAAATTGAATAAATAAATATTTTTTATTAAAATGCAAATCTCTTTTTACGTTTTGTTTGTTCACCTCTCTTCAACACTCATCGTCTTAGAAAATATTAAATTTGTTAAGCCCATAAGATCTGTCATTTACGAGCAATTAGAGACAGACGAATGAATTACACGCACCGACTGTTTCGCACTATGTTCTCTCAGCCCGAGAGAGAAAGAGGATGGTACTCGTATAGCTTAATATCTTCTCTACGCTACACATGTAGCGCCGCGCGATAAGTAGTCCAGAACTCTCACGCCTCTCCACGCGCGCTGCGCCTCTCCGCTGCCACTGCCGCTCGGCGCGCTACGTACGATATCGGGAGATCCTCCCCCGTCTTCGCGGGCAACAAAGAAAATCTGTTGCTGCTGCTGTTGTTGTTTTTTCTCTCTTTTCTTCGAGCATGTGGGTATTAATTTACAATTGTGGGATTGTTAGTGAAAACTCTCTCGCGCGGCGAAAAGCGTTTAGCGCTCAGTATTAGACGATGCTTTGCTGAGGCATCATCGGGACTCTTTCATATAATATATATACACGCGCGGCTCTGCGATTCAGCAGCGATATGCTTTAAAAGAAAGAAAGTATACGCGCTTTTTCTAATATATTTATACGATCGAGGCCGATCTCGGAAGTTTCTTTCAACGATAGAACGAGCAGCAGCGAGTGATCGTTCGTAACATGTTTGTTTAATGAGAATTATGTGATTCAAACCAGTGTCAATGGTAAGAAAATTGAAAAATTAACGTCCGTTCTCATGGGTGATCGATAAACAAAAAAAAAAAAAAACCAAGAAAATCGTTTGAATTTTTCAAGAGCGCGTTTCGGCAATCGGACGTTTTGAAGGACATGTACAGCTCCGAGCGTAGATCCGCCATCAGCACGTCGGAGCTCGGCCTGTACTCGGATCACAGTCACTACAACAACAATTACACCAATGGATCGACCGTGCGCAAATTCGTCATCGGCATCATGGTCGTAGTCGCGGTTCTCTTGGTGAGTTTCAACCCCCCTTTCCAACCACGACCCTCTAACGAAATCGCAGCGATCTCGGAATTGACGACAAAAAAAACAGTTACACATAAAAAGAAAAGAATCGCGGACGATTTCGAGAAAAAAGTTTTACGCACACGCACGCACACACATACGTACGTATACGAAGTCGAGCAACAAAAGCGCTAAACAGTTAACACTTTTCACCGAATCCGTAGAGTTTTGCACGCATGAGAAATCAAGCGTGAGTTCATACGTATAAACGCACACGTGATGCAGCACAATATAGGGCGCCGCGTTACCGTGTATAAAAATTGTATGTATATGGTATATGCTAGCGTATTATGATAGAAAGGCGAAATGCTCGCGTGTATGTGCGTGTGTGTGTATTAATTTATGCTTCATGAATTTGGCACTCGAGCGTGAACCAATTGCCTCCTATACTACTGCTCCGCGATAATTCAAAAAAAGAACTCATCTCTCTCACTCTGATTAAAACGAGCATTGACCGCGAACTTTTAGCTCGGCTGTTATTAGCTTTGCCATTGATGGGGAAAAACTGATGCGCGTTTAGAGAAAGAGAAATGTTTGCGATCCGTAATTGAACTTACATTGTCGGTATGTATTGGTTTTTGCTCATTGATTTGAGTGATTGTACATTTGAAATTTGCAGCTAGATTTGTAGAAATGATCAAATTTAAGTCTTGACTTTATGATCAAAAAATGACAATTTGAAACGTTTAATAATTCGTTATGATTAATGGGCTTGTTTTTTGGCGATTTTTCAGTTAAAATTATGTTACAAATATCAAGTGCATTTTAAATGACCCAAAAATTACAGTTTAATTATTTCAAAAAATATTAGAACAGTTTTTAACCACTTTATATACGACAGTATTACTTCGAGCTTTCACCACTAGATGGAGAGTACCTTTATCTGCAATCCTGCAAGTGACAAAGTAAAAATATTTGTATAAATTATAGACGAACGGTTTAATGATATCTAATTTTTAGGAAATAGATAAGTTAATAACTGGTCTTATGCTATTTATTTCTATAATTGAATAGACTGTTGATAAATAATGTTACGTAAATGAATTCATTTTTAAGTACAAACATTAACGATAATAGTATTAAATACGAATCGACAAATTTAATTTAAATGACTTTTTACATTTCAAATGTATGAAAATGTTTCAAACATACTAACAGAAAGTGTGCTTTAAATAGTCTTTTGCCCGAATTTTATATAATGAATATGTAAGGTCGATAGGAACTCGGACTCTTCGCGGGGTATAAATTAATCGGTAATCGACTCCAACGCGTATTACATAAACTTTACGGCCAATCGATCCGCAAAATTTCATACAACTACAAAGTTTGCGCAGATCGGCATCTTTCTGTACGACTTCGCGTCGAGCGCGGCGATCAGCAGCAAAGTCAGCCAGGAGACGAAGCACATCTACATCCTGCAAAACAGCCTGCGCAAGCCGCCGCCCACCTCGGCCGGCTTCAATAGAAGATCTCTGACGTCGACGCAGTCCAACGCTAGCAGCTCCGCGTTCTCGAACGTCGGCGGCAATCCCGACGTGATCGAGGACAGGGCCGACGACGTCCGCAACTCCGACTACAAGTTCGAGGCCGGCGACGGAGACGCGGTGGAGAACGACGAGCCCGGGCGCGAGGAGGAGGCCTCGGCGAGCGGCGAGATCATGCAGCGAATGCACCGCATGATCGTCGACGAGCCCGAGGCGCGCATGCAGAATCTGGAAAATTTCAAGCTGAGGGAGAGCCTGCTCGGGGTCGGGGGAAAGATCAACGATCAACGGGAGCAGCAGCAGAGGCAGTCGCTGCGGCCGGAGCACAAGAGCCAGGAAACGGACGAAAGCGAGAACGCGAGAAACGAGCAGCAGATCATCGACAATCACGCGATGATCTATCGCGTCAGGTGAGTACTCATTATCATGAAATAAACCGAGACAGACTAGTAATTATCTCTAATGATCTAACGTAAACATCAGCCGCTTGAGACTTCCCGAATCCGAGACGAGTCATCAAAACAACAACAACAACAACAACAACAACAATAACGTACCAGCAGCTTCTTCCGCCTCCGCCGCCGCCGCCGAGGACAAGAGCCAATCTTCCAGCAACGGAGCACCGTTTCGCTTCGAGCTCAAGGGCCCGGCCCCGGCCTCGTTCAAGCGCCAGCAAAAGTATCCGCAGCTCTCGCAGTACCGCTATCCGCACTCGTCGCGCAGCATCCAAGACATCGTCAAGTACCTGACCAACGATCGCGGCCTCAAGTTCACTGGCTACTACGTGAGCCCGAAAAAATTCGACGCCGGTCCCGTCTCCTCGGCAGAGGACCCCGATGGGGATGACGGCTTTTATACGGCCGGCGACGAACTGTCGGACGAGCAGAGCGCCCCGTCGCCCTACGCGATCGCATTCAACAACAACAACAACGGAGGTGGAGGTGATCCCCTGTATCATTACAAGCCCAAGCATCCGGCCGACGTGAATCTGCTGGCCGCCACAAATCTCAGGTGCGATTATAAAATCAAATACCCGACTCCCGACTGACACACCTACTGTGCACACGATGCAAATTGGCGCGCCTAATCCATTGCCTCAATAAGCCAATTACAATGTAGATATATTATGTACGTAAACGTTGAATATATCATATGAGCGCGGGCTTATCCGCTCGATGCGCAGCGACGGAAAACTATATGGGGTTTAAACTTTTTATACCCAAACAGATTCTCGCCCTACGGCGTTCAGCGTTACAATCCGTACTTTTACGATCAGCAGCAACAGCAACAATCACAGCCACAGTCGCAACAGCATCATCGGCGTCCTCACTCGTCCAAGCATTCGACGAGGCATCATCATCATCATCAGCATCAGCATCAACAACAATCGTACTCGAGCGAGAGTCAACTCGACAGCTTAGGCTCGTACGGCACGAATTACGGAAAGAGACGCCCAAAGCCCAAACCCTTCAGCGTCATGCTCGACATTTATCCCATTACAGACGACAATAATAATAATAATAATAATAATAAAAATAATAACAATTATAACGGGCCCAGTACCGAGACGTCGAGAAAGACGTCGATGCCGAGGTTCAAGGGCGTGGCCGACGAGTTCGACACGAGATCGCCCCGGCCGAGACGTCCCAAGGAGCAGCAGCAGCTACAGATGGCGGCGTCCAGTGTATTCGTGCCGACGGTCAGCGCGCCGCCCTACAGCGGCCACGACAACGACGAGAAGCACCAGATGATACTGCACCTGAATCTCTATCCGAAGCGCAAGGGCAAGTACAGCAGGTGAGTCGACGTGACTTTTTTTCCTCTCTTTTTTTTTTTTATTTTATAAATGACAAATAGCTTGAAAAGATTCGATGAAAGAATGAGAGGAGATGCCAGAGTCGTGAGACCGACACCGACGAGACGCGCGTCGCGAGCATTTTTGCATTTATTATGATCGAGAGAGAGAAAAAAATTGCGACCATCTGTCGCTGCTACATGTCCTCGTAATGCTATCACGTAAAATGATGTAACGCGTTAGAGATGGTCGGTATATATACTTGCCCGAGAGAGAGAAAAAAAAAAGGTCGTTTTCGAGTGAGATTCTCATAGTTTCAGTGCCTCGCGTGTTCTCTGCATCTCTGAAAAATGCCCGCGGGCTACGAAAAATTTTGCAAAACCACACGATGTCTCGTTCGCTCGCGGCTCTATAATAATACGTATACGAGCGAAGGTGTGTCGCGCGCCAAGTGGCTCGCGCTGATATTCAAATATTACCGCAATATTTTATTATTTTTTATAGCTATTGTATATAACGAAGGAGATATAGTCGTAAAAATACCGCGTGAAAAATGTCTATGTGCGCGTGTAATGTAATAATAATTGCAGAAACGAAGTCATCGATCGCGCCGAGTCGCTGCGTTCCGGCGAGAAGGAGCGCCTGCTCGAGCGCATGATCGTGCCCTTTCAAGAGCTGACGAAACAGCTCCAGTCGACGACGATCGACTACGACGACAACGACGAATCGAGAACAGACAAGAGACTCAACGGCGGAATCGTCGTCGACAATCATCACAAGCGCTACGACGAGACGTCCCTGTCCAAGGAGGAGATGGACACGATCAAGAACTTTACCAACAGAATCATCGACGTGGAGGCGAGAAGACCACCGATCGAAGCATCGACGACGACGACCACCGCCAAAGCTGCTACTGCTGCTGGTCCTGTTCACGTCGTCCTTGCCGAGACCACAACGACGATGAAGACGACGTCGACCACGATGGAGCTCGCGACGATGGCTACTACCTCCGGAAACCCTAATACGTCGTCGACGACGACGAGCGCCGAGCCGATCGTCAAGAAGAGCGAAAAGATCGCCAGGCTCGAGGACTTGGACACGTACGAGGGATTTCAACAATTCGCCGATAGCGTTGTTGCGACTGACTGATTGAAATCAAAAATTACAATTTTACTTGACAAAATAGAATCAGAGTTGTAGATATTTAATGCAGTATTATGACCGGATTCGAATTTGAAATTTTGTTGGATGATCGTGAAAGATATCGATTGACAGCTGTTATTTTTAAATAAACTATAGATAAGTAAATCTAATTGTTAATTCATGAAGATAGCAAACAATAAGATTTTGAAAAGTATCTTGAAAATAATCAACCATTATGCTTACTTCATTATATTGTTTATATTTATTACGAACATAAAAAAATTTACATATTAATCGTTGTATAAAAGCTTTACATTAAAAAAAATTGATTTATACATTTGTAATTCTACATGCGTATCGTACTTTACACTCGAACGATAATAATGAAAATAAAATAATTTCTTAACGGGCTATCTGTTAATTGAAAAATATATAATTGATTGCGCTACCTAGTAACATGATTAGATATAATTTCAGTACTTACGATATACAAACACACTCGCTCGCAATACACACGCACTCGTTCGACTCGCAGCACATCGCGTTCAACATTTTCGATTTTATTCGAGTTTTTAATAGTTAAGAATAATAAGTAGACTGTCACAACGTATTGAAAAGACGACACCGTAGACAAAATTTAACCTATCGGACTACAGGAATTATATGTTGGTACACGATAATAACGTTTTGATTGAAAAACTTTTCATCGCCGAGAGACTCGAGCGATACATTTTTACAGATAAAAATTTACTATGATACAACGTACATAAAAACAAATTTATCATGTAAATTAAATATTTTATATATTACATAATAATATGGTGACGTATAGCATGGGGATAGCAAAATCTGCGCGTAGGAGACACCTAGCACATATGACTCTAAAAAAGATAACAACAGCTCTGCATACTCGTGATTTAACTTATATGCAATTCTTTTCACTTTATTTATAGATAAAAGTACACGCCATCTAGTGGTGGAGACTTAAAGCGGTGCTATCGTATTCAAAGTGAATACATTCTTGACTATAAGGAATATAAAATTCATTGTTTTTTGTAAAAATATTTTGACTTTCTCACTTGCAGATTTACAAATGAAGGCACAGGCCATCTAGCGCCACAAAATTTTGAAAGTATCTAATCATTATTAAATCATTAATTTTCGATAAAAATTTTCAAATTTACCAGAGGAATTGGATTTTTTCGATTATTTTTTGCATTGAAAAGTAATGTACCTAATTACATTTGCATGCACTTTTTGTGCAGTTCATGGAAAGAGAAATACTGATAACTTAATTTCAAACTAAGATTTCATGTAAAAGTATCTTAAATAAAATTTGAAATCGGTTAGTTCGATTTAACATCGAATCTGTATTAAATTTAATGTTTTTCTTTCAACACGGTAGGTGCCTTTACCACACGCATATTTTTCTATTCCACGCTACGTCATGGCGCAAAACACCGACGTTACATTTAAAAAAAAAAACTTATTCATATACTCGAACTTAGTTAACTTTAAATAGCTCATAACTAGCACCATTTCTCTCTCTCTCTCTCTCTCTCTCTCTCCCCATGCCAGTCGCTCGCCTGCAGTCTATATATACTATATTTATACTTTAAGCGAATAGCAGTTACTCGCGTCTATACAGCAAAAAGTTGGCACACGGTACAAGTATAAAATTGTCATTGAAAATCCTCTCCTTCAATACAACACGTACTCGTAGTACAAATGTCATGGCCTCGACAGGGTGCTCGGGTGGTAGATCGTGTTGCCCCACTCGTAGGGGCCCTCGTGATGATGGCTGCCGATGAGCATCGCCGGGCCCGGGGTCACGCAGGGCGGCCCGCCGAGGCTCGCGTGCGAGCCCGCGCTCATCAGCGCCGGTCCCGACGAGATGTAGCTCAGGGTCGGCCGCGAGTTCTCGCGCAGCCTCGCGTGCCTCGCGCGCCTCTTGAATCTGCAATAAAAAAAAGGACGCGACGTTAGAATGTTTTTTTTTATCGAATATTTATAAAAAAAAAAATGATTCAGACTACACTTCTTACTTGGAGTGCATGCAGCAAATCGTGCAGCTGGCCGTCACCGTGGCGAATCCGACCAGCACCGCTATCGCGAGTACCCACAGCTGAGTCGCCGACGCGTCCGTCCGGGCGAACGTCACCGCGCAATTCTGTATGCCGTCCACGTGATACCTCTCGTACACGTCCTTCAGCCTGCGATTGTCCGGATCCAGCAGCAGCTGTCTCATCTCCGCCAGCCCGAAGGCCTCCCTGCCCCCGACCATCTGGAAGCACGAGCTCGTGGCGGAGAAGTCCAGCGAGCTGTCCTCCTTGGCGTAGAACTGCGTGTCGTAGACGTTCACCTGGACCTGGGGCAGCAGCAGGGCCTCGCGCACCTCGCGCTCGAACGCCTCGAGACGTTCGCGTACTTCGGTCGGCGGCCGACTGAACACGAACTTGAGCATGTCCCGGTCGCGCAGCAGAAACACCCTCAGAGTCACGTTGGTCTCGCGTCCAGGTACCAGCGAGTTGTTGGCTAAGATGGGCACCTCGAGATAGCCGTCGGCGTAGGCCACGAGGCTCTTGGTGGTGCGCACCTCACCGGTCACCGGGTTCAGTGCCAGTGGCGGCGACTGACCCGCCGTCCCCACCGAGGTGCGCTTGGGCTTGTTCGGGTTGGCGTGATGCTCGTTGAGGGCCACGAAGGCCGTGTCGCCCATGATGTAGTTGATCGGCAGGGCGTCGACGTCGACGTCGTGCGCCTCCAGAGTGACGAGGCTCGTGTCGATCGGCACGTTCAGTCTCACGCCGATCGTCACGTTGTCCTTGTCGAAGCGCGGCCTGTTGTCGTCGATGTCGATTATCCGCACCAGTACCTGCCTCTCCGCCGGCTCCTGAGGATTGTACGGCTTGGGTATGAAGTCCTGCTGCTTGCCCGTGTACTTGAAGCATCGGATCGTCAGCAGGTGCTTCTCGCTGGTCTCGCGATCCAGACGTTTCGTCGACTTGATCAAGCCGCTGTTGTTGGCCAGCCGCTCGATGGCGAAGAATCCGGCCTCGTTGCCGTGACTTATCGCGTAGTCGATCAGGCTGTTCTCGCCGATGTCCTCGTCGATCGCCTGGACTATACCGATCTTGGTGCCGATCGGCGTCTCCTCCTTGACGCTGAACTCCAGCGGCGGACTGTACACCTGACGCTTGAAGTGCGGCTTGTGATCGTCGATGTCGAGCACTCGGACCTGCAGCACCCTCGTCGCCTGCTGGGGTGGCTCGCCGAGATCCTGCGCCACGAGGATCAGCGTGTAGTTCTCCTTCTCCTCGCGATCGAGCGGCACTCGGCTGGTGATCAGGCCGGTGCGCGGATCTATGTGGAAGGCCGCCGAGTCACCGCCACCGCCACCACCGCCACCGAAATCGCCGTCCTCCAGGAACTTGTAGACGATCTTGCCGTTGGGCAGCTGCGGGTCGTCCGGATCGGTGGCCAGTACCTGAAACACCGGACTGCCGATCGACGAGTTCTCCGAGACGTGGGCGATCTCGTCGAGGCCCGGGCGCACGAACAGCGGCACGCCGTCGTTGCTCACCACGTCGCCGATGTACAGGATCAGCGGCACGTCGGCGTAGAGCGCCGGCTCGCCCTGATCCTGGGCGCGGACCCGCATGGCGTAGGGCTCGGTGCGACCCTTGCCCGTCAGCGCCCTCGTCGATCGGATCTCGCCCGTGGTGTGATTTATGCGGACGAGACCGCTCGCCTCGCCCTCGTCGATGATCTCGTAGTGGATGGTGCCGCCCCCAGCCTCGTCCGGATCCTGGGCCGTGACGTTGACGATGCTGACCCCGGGCGCCGCGTTCTCCGGCACCACCGAGGTGTAGGACTCCTGGGCGAAGGCCGGCGCGTTGTCGTTGACGTCGAGAACGTCGACGGTGATCGAGGCCTGGGCCGCTCGGCGATTGGCCCCGCCCTGGGGCATGTCCTGGGCGATCGCCTGCATCTTGAGCACGGACTGTCGCTCGCGGTCCAGCGTCACGTTGGGCGCGATCTGATGAAAAAAAAAGATACATCAATTATATCATTGATTTTTAGCGTTGAAAAATAATTGACTCGAATACTCACGCGTATGGTGCCACTGACGGGATCGATCTCGAAGAGATTGGCGTTCTCGCCCGTCAGCGAGTAGCCGACGACGCCGTAGCCGCGCTTGAGCTCCACCTCGGTGTTGGCGCTGTCGAGATCCGTGGCCTTGACCGTCAGCACGACCTTGGGCGGCCTGTCGGACTCCATCACGCTGACTTTGTAATTGGGCTGGGCGAACTCGGGCCCGTTGTCGTTGACGTCCTCCACGGTGACCTCGATGTTGGCCTCGGACATGCGCTGGGTGATGTCGAAGTCCCGAGTCAGCGCTCGCACTTTGAAGCGGATCACCTGCGTATCACGATCGAGTTTAAATTTTATGAAAGTCATCCTTACGAGTGCTAGCTACCGAATGAGTTTCTAAGTTCTTTCGATCGATCACAATAACAAGACTCCGTGGCGCAACGGTAGCGCGTCTGACTCCAGATCAGAAGGTTGCGTGTTCAAATCACGTCGGGGTCAAAAGATAACTTTTTGAATTTTTTTTTACTTTTTCAGACTGGTCTTGAGATCTTTGATGTACATTCTCAGTGTGTTTTGGGCATCATTTTTTTATTTCTAATTTTTATAATAAATGTATCATTTATCGAAAAATATTTTCTATTAATTACAAGATAAATAATTTAATGATGTAATATAATCGCGCAATTTTGCCTTGTTTACGTTATTTTAAATGGGTCTCATAACACGATTTGTAAACATTATCTTAATTGTATTTAGGCAAGCTAGTTTGACGCGTAAAATCAACGGATGATGTTCAGTCGTAACCGAAACTCTAATCGTGAAAGATGAATTCGAGTGGCACATTCAACTACGCCGTTAGGTAATTTTTATGTCTTAACGATGCAAGTATAAAAATATTGTAACACAATTTTTAATCTTTGTGTAAATATTTCAGAGTGAAGGAGGAACCAATTGAAAATGATGATTATGAGTCTATGTCCAGGACACACGATGTTAACAATTTTCAATTTACCAAATTCAAAGAAGAAATTCAGCCCCAGAGAAATCCGGTAAGAATGGACCGTTATTTATAGTTGTTTTTTATAAAAATTTCCATATAACTTAAGTTATATTACAGTCCCGCATGACTCAAAAATATCAAGAAAATCATGACAGTGAACTTGATGACGACGTCGAAGCAGAATTCGAATGTAAAGACGTAAAGATCGACCTTAATTTATTGGAAATTAAGACAATTGACGATCCAAATCACTTGCCAAATTTAAGAGATAGCGATGGTCATAATACTTTACACATAATTAAAAAAGAACCCGCAGATGAAGTGAAACAAGAATCTGTTGGTGACTTTACGGGTGAATTGAAATTGAATATCGACTGTGAACTCAATAAGCGAGGTAAAAATAAAAAAATTACAAAAAAGTTGAACAATAAGCATGAAATCAAAAATAAAATGAGTATAGTGCATAATGATATAAACCTTACAGATAAAATATGCAGCAAGTCATTTTACCAAAAAAGTCATGTCAAGACATACATCGATGCGGTGCACAATAGTGGAAAACACCCATGTAAAATATGTGGTAAAAAATTTGCAAAAAAATGTAATCTCAAAATTCACATCGATGCGATTCATAATGGTATGGTACCAACATGCAAAATATGCAGAAAGACATTCTCAACTGAGACTTCACTCAAGGTCCACATCGGTGCAGTTCATAATGGTATCAAGCATACTTGCGTTACATGTGGGAAGACATTCACACAAAAAGGAGTACTCAAAATCCACATCGATGCAGTTCATAATGACGTCAAACATACATGTGTTACATGTGGAAAGACATTCAAACACAAAGTTACTCTCAAAATTCACATCGATGCGATGCATAATGGTATGGCACCAACATGCGAAATATGCGGAAAGATATTTCAAACAAAGACTAAACTCAAGATTCACATTGAATCAGTACATGATGGTATTAAACATGAGTGTGGTATATGTGGAAAGACATTCACACAAAAAGAAAAGCTCAAAATGCACATCGATGCGATGCATAATGGTATGGCACCTAAATGCGAAATATGTGAAAAGACATTCATACAAAAAGGAGATCTCAAGAGGCATATCGATGGACATAATGGCGTTAAACATGCTTGTGGTGTATGTGGAAAGATATTCACACAAAAAGGTTCTCTCAAAATTCACATCGATGCGATGCATAATGGTATGGCACCTACTTGCGAAATATGCGGAAAGAAATTTCAAACGAAGAATAAACTTAAGATTCACATCGATTCAGTACATAATGGTGTTAGACATGCGTGTGGTATGTGTGGAAAGACATTCAGACAAAAATGTTATCTCAAAATACACATAGATGCGATGCATAATGGTATGGCACCTATATGCAAAATATGTGGAAAGACATTTTCATTTAAGGATACTCTCAAAAAGCACATGGATGGCGTGCATAATGATATTACCCATGAATGTAAAGTTTGCGGAAAGATATTTTTACGAAAATCAAGTCTCAGTAGGCACGTTAAATCGTCGCATAAAATTATTGACTGAGCACGACGGCGATAACGAAGAGCAATCTTAAAGACAACATATAATCGATTCGGTGCATCATTCACGCACTACGACTTTGAGAACGAATAATAAATTTAATTTACTAAAATTGTTCATTTACAATAATATCATACGTTCCTCCAACGTCATCTCAACAATTTTTTAGTTTTGAACAAAAAAAGCAAAATAAAACAAATTCTGCCCGTATCACTCCTTTTTTTTGAAAACTATTTCCTTACGTTATCCTTCAAGCTCTCGTAATCCAGCCGCTTGCTGAGAACGACGTTGCCGCTGTTGACGCCCACGTTGAAGTAAGCCTCGTCGTTCTCGCCCCGGACCATCTCGAATCTCTGCACGGCGTAGCCGGTCTGCGGCTCCTTGGCCTGCAGCATCAGCAGGGTAGTGCCCAGCGGCTGCTCCTCGGGTATCGTCAGCCGGATCCAGGGATTGTTGGCCGACCAGCCCTGATTCGTGAAGGTCGGATTGTCGTCGCTGAAGGCCTGCACGAAGACGGACAGCTCCACCCGGGCCAGCTGTCGGTCCTTGTCCACGGCGGCGTTGAGATCGCGCGCCTCCAGGGTCATGATGATCACCGCCGCCTTCTGGTAGTTCAACGGCTTGGCTATGCTCACCGTGCCCGTGGTCTTGTTGACGCGGAACAGTCCGCGATGATCGTAGAAGGACTCCTGCACCGTGGCGCCGGTCTTGTCGAGGGCTCGGTACGGCTCGACGATCGAGTACTCGATCTCGGCGTCGCTGTCCGGATCCACGGCCCGTACCTCGATCAGCCTCTCGCCGACCTTGGCCCGCTCCGACACGTAAGCCGTGTACGACGATTGCTCGAAGGCCGGCGGCTTGTTGTTCACGTCCAGCACGTCGACCGTCACCGTGGTGGTGGCCGTCTCGCGGATCGGCTCGCCCGAGTCCACCGCGTGCACTATCACCTCGTACCTGGACCCACCCGACTCCAGGTCCAGCCGAGCCTCCGGCGCCACGGTCATCACGCCCGAGCGCGGATCCATGGCGAAATTGTCGCGGGCGCCCGAGTGGATGCGGTAGCGCAGCAGATTGTCACGGCCGTCCGGATCGTTGGCCTGGACGCGTATGATCTCCGTGCCCGCTGCGGCGTTCTCCGGAATCTTGGCCCGATAGACGTTCGGCCCGGGCTGGCTGGACTTGTAGTTGCCGCGAAAGACGGGCTTCTGATTGCCCGGCACCCCCACTCGAATGTAGACCCGTGCCTCGGCGAACTTGGGCGGCGAGCCGTGATCCGTGGCGCGGACCACGAGCTCGTAGATGCCGCGCTCGGTGTCGGTCGAGCGAGCCGAGCCCGTGAGTACGAGCTCGCCTGTGTCGGGTTGTATCTGTAATAGAGATCGAATCAAACGTTGTAACGATACTATTGAGAAAATTATGAACCATGGTGACATAGGTTAATTTTTTGAAACCCGTTTTTCAATTTATGCAATTATTTTAACTTTACCACTTGCGGATTTACAAATAAAGGCACTCGCCATCTAGCGGCGATTGCTGGTTTTATGTGGGATTGCTATTTCATACACTTTTTTCGAAGTTTTCGTAAACACATTTTATAACATCATAAAAATACTCTGTTAAAAGTTTAGAACGAAATTCATAAAATAAAAAAGTTACGGTCGATTAAAACGCAATTTTGAAGGCGTATTTTTCTCAAAACCACTTTCATTCAACTTGGGCCAAATATTGAGAGAAAACTATATGTTCGATCTTTATGTTTCATATCTCTTTTTAATCGTTCTCTACAGAATAAACCTCTAAAAAGCTGACAAATCATCCCAAATTTTTTTATGGAGTAGATTTTCCCTTAAATTGGCTTTTTTTTTTAATTTTACAAAAAAAACTTATTCCAAAACAGTAAAAAAAGGAAATGCCAATTTTTCAGAGGTTTATCCACTGGAGAAAATTTTAACCAATTGCTATGGTAACGTCCCCTACAGATTATTTTTCAACGCGATACTCTCTCCAAGTCACTTCGAAAATCTCGCAATACCTTGAACACGTTGTCGTTCATGCTGTTGTGCTGGCTAATCGAGTAGGTGATCCTTCCATCACCTTGAGCTGGCCCATCGGCGTCGCTCGCCCGCACGAACATCTGCGGATCGAAGCTCGTAGCGGCCTCGCGCACAATCCTCGTGTACTCGCTCGTCTCGAAGCGGGGCTCGTTGTCGTTTACGTCCTCGACCTCGACCAGCAGACTGACGGTGCTGACTCGCTCGCCGCCGTCCCTGGCCTCCAGGGTCAGCGAGTACGACTTCTGGTCCTCGTAGTCGAGGCTCTGGGCGACGAAGAGGCCGCCCGAGCGCGGATCCGTGCGAAACTTCTCGACGCCGAAGCCGCGCAGCACGTAGGCGAGCTGGCCGAAGGCGCCGCTGTCGAGGTCGCGCGCGCGTACGTCGCCGAATTTCAGGCCGACCTCGGCGTCCTCGGGCACGGTCAGGTGGTAGAGCTGCTGGGAGAAGTCGGGACTGTGATCGTTGGCGTCCAGCAGTTGTATGTGCACCGTGGAAAACGAGACCTGTTTCGGAGAAAGAAAAGAAGGTCAGTTGAATTATTCACCCTGTTGCCTCGCTCGAGGCTTCGACGCTTACCACTTGACCGTTGACCAGAGCGACCACTTGAAACTCCAGCTGCTTATCGCCCGGCACATCGTAGTCCAAAACTCTCGGATCCAGGGTCCTGATGACCACCGGGGTGCGTCCCTGTCCCTCCTCGGGGCTTATGTCGAACGCCCGACTGACGCCGTGATATCTCGGCGCGTCCCTCAGCGCCAGCCTGTACCTGGCGTTGTCGCCCACGTCGTCGTCCTGCACGAACATGTTCAAGCCGGGCAGCGGCGTGTCCGTGCCGATGTCCTCCGAGACCGCCACCAAGAAGCGGTCCTCGTTGAAGCTCGGCACCATGTCGTCCACGTCCGTCACCACGAGGGTCACCTGGGCCAGGGCCTGATCGTCGGTCAGCTCGCCGTCCAGGAGCTCCGTGGCTCGTATCTCGAAGCCGTAGACGCCGCCGTTCTGCAGTATGGCCTCGTCCTCGCGATCCAGCGAGACGTTGGTGGTGACGAGGTGGCCGTGGGTGACGTCGCCGTGCTCGACGAGCTCGAGCTCGAAGTAGCCCCCGACCTCGTTCTCGATGCCGAGCCAGACGGGCCGAGGGTCGCCCGTGTCGCCGTCCCGTGCCTTGATCGTGAGCACCGTCAGGCCGGCTGGACTGTTCTCGGCCAGGGCCACGCTGTAGGGGGCGTTGACGAAGGTAGGCGGTTGATCCTATTGACAAGAACATAATGCAATCCCAAGAAAAGGTGGACGAAAAGAAATTTTCAAAATCATGCTTCTACTTATACCATAAGTTTTACTTAGACACTTGCGGAATTACTGAAATGAAGGCACTCGCCACCTAGCGGTAAGAGGCTTAAAGTATTATTGTATATGCAAAGTGGTTGGGAACTGATTGAAATTTATTGATTCAATCTAACGCAGAACATTACGTTACAGAAAAAGGATATTTACCATCGTCTTATACAACTAAGTTTACTTTAACACTTTTAAACTAATACTTGAATAGTATGTTTATTGGCTTCAATATATATTACATAGCTACGATAATATTTTATAATTTTATTTACAACGGTACGTCGCCATCTAGCGTTGAAAGCTTCAAGTTGCATTATCGTATAACAAATATACTTTAGAATTGGTATACATTTTTTGAAAAACAATCGAATTTTCAGGTCATTTAAAAAGCGCTTTATATTTTTATAACATAAATGTAATTGAAAAATCTTTAAGTACAAATTAATCAATGGTAATTTATATTAAAACATTTTAAATGGTCATTCAAGTACTCACCTGTACGTCGAGTACGTCCACCGCGACGGTGGCCTTGGCCTGGAGCCTCTTGGCCGGATCACCGGCCCCGTCGACGGCCAGCAAATTAATCAGATACGAGTTTCTCCTCTCGTAGTCCAGCGGCCGTGCCAGACTGATTCTCACGTCGTAGCGACCCTCGGCGAGCTTGACGCTCTCGACGTCGAAGACGCGACAGGCGTCGTCGTCGCTGCCCGCCGGCAGACAGCTGACCCGCACGTCGGCGTTGACGCCGCCGTCGCGATCCGTCACCAGGATGCTGCCCCCGGGCAGCAGAAGCTCGCCCAGCTCGGCGCTCTCGGGCACACGGGCGGCGTAGGGCCGGCCGTGATAGACAGGGGCGTTGTCGTTCTCGTCGAGCACGGCTATCTCGCGCCTCAGCGACACCGTGTTGGGCTCGGAGCCGGCCACGCTCTCGTCTGCAATGTGGAACGAAGATACATAAGCGTGTGATTATATGATTTTTTTTTTTGTTGTTGTCGTCGTATGACGGAACGCGTCGATATCGTTGATATTTTAAATACTCAACTCCGCCGGCCGTTGTAGAGAAATTACACAGCGGCGACTTTCCTCTGCATCGAAAAAGGCCGCGTTTATTCAACGAAATAATAGAAAGTAAATAGCTCATTTTGCGCGCCGCGGCTCTATTAAAATTCAGAGTATGTATAAGGTATACAGCGATGCAGCAGCGACCGGATAGCCGCGTGCAACTTTCTACATATCCTAATACGACAGCGCAGCTATGCAGTTAGTGAGAGGCCACAATTAAAAGCCATAAACTGGTCGTCGTCGTCGTCTGTATATACAATCATTATTACCCGTTATGCTGACGATGACCTCGATGATGTCCTGGACCTCACGATCCAGGGGCTTCCTCAGCAGCACGACGCCGGTCTCGCGCTCCACGCCGAAGTAATCGCCGCTGATGGAGTAGTGGAGTCGCGAGCCCTCCGGGTCCTCGGCCTGGAGCGTGTAGACCGGCGCCCCCACGGGTGTGCTCTCGGACACGGCCAGGCGGGCCATGTCGCCGCCGAACACGAAGTGCGGCGCGCGATTGATCACCTGCGCCTGGGCGGCCGGCAAAATCGTGCCGCGGGATGATAGGAGCAGCAGCGGTAGCAGCAAAAGCAGCGACGGTGGCTCTTTGTGACGCGGCATGATTTCGTATCTGAAATAGAACGTATACGTTGTTTTAGTTTCGCAGTTCGTGAATTCATAAAATGATATAAAAGATGTCAATTTCTGATGTTAAAATAATTACATAGAAAACAGAGATAGAAATCACTCTAAAAAATAGAAGGTCAATATACATATTTATTAGGGTGTCCGTTATTTCTAAAACGTTAAAAATCCTTACTCAAGAAGTTTAGATCACTTCTTTGTGATATAAAAACAAGATTTGTATGGTTTAAAATTTGTTAAGCCTCATAGTGGCCATTTACATAGGGGTGAATATGTTTAAAACCGAGATTTAACTTAATTATGTTGACTTTGTCACTTGCAGATTTACAGATAAAGATACTCGCCATCTAGCGGTGGATGCTTTCATTATGATTGGACTTACATACATCTCTTGCGCAGCTTATAAAAAAAAATAAGCCAGTACTCATTCATTCATTTATTTTCAAGGAAAATTTCGTGGTGGCAAAGAGACGCACAGCGAAAATTACGTATTAATCTTATAATATTTTCAAAAATTCACATCAGCTTCATGTTTACAATCTGCAATTGCCATTGGACTCAATCGATGCGTAATATTTTTTTAATTAGTAGGAAAAACAAATCATAATTACAAGGAGTTTGTTCCTATGTACATAAAAAAGACATATGCGTTGATAATAATATCTAATCTAGTTTAGGAGACAAATATTCAACCAGAAAGAAAAAGAAAAGGGGTACATGACGCTTCTGTTACCATTTATTTTCCATCTACTTCAATTACTTCATATTACGCGTGTGCAAAGCCGTAACCGTAAACAATCCTAAGGCGAGTTTTCTCAGTGCTTCGATGAAGCACAATAATAAAAGCGATGAAAAAAAAGCATCCAGTTTGCCACCGTTAAACATATACGCTAATTGATACTCTGAACAGAAAGGCGGGTACACATCGAGCGCGGCAGCTATATAGGCACGTGTCTCTCTCTCTCTCTGTCGAGAGCTGCTTTTCTAAATACACCTCGAGTGAACAATTTTTTTTCGCGCTTTAATGCGTCAATTAAAATACCGCTTCGGAGATAGAAATCATTTATCATATAATTTCCTTTTAATACGGTAAATGGTACACGCTGTCGTCGTCGTCGTCGTCGTCGTTTGTTGTTGTTTTGCCATTTCGCGCTGTGCTGCAGCATAGGTAACGCAAATCGTCGAGCAATTTCAGGTATAAAAATTTTCTAATTATCGTCTCGCGGGCATTCCGTATATGCAGCTGCTTCCTATCTCGCATCGAGCTCTCCGCGCGCATACGTGTTGTGTTGCAGGCGGCGCGGCGCACTCGATTACGGGAGGGAAATTCGCATCTCGCGAGCGAGAGAGAGAAGATACCATTGTTCCATTATGCATCGCGCGCATTTTCAGTCGAGCAGAAGGAAAAACAGAAAAAGATCGTAAACATTTCGTCACGACGCTCGGATGATGGAGTAACGTCGCTATGCTGCTGGCCTAGATCGCATGAGGCGGGTCGCGAATCGAATTCAACGTTATATTATGAAGCGCACGCGGCTCGTAACGAGGGATAAACTCGAGACGAAAATTCGATCCTTCGCTGGCGCTATCAGTTAACCGCGAGTAGCGAGATACAAAAAAGTAAGTCTCTGGTATAAACTAATAGAAACGTTCCTCGCGAGATCATTGAATCCAATCGATCTCGAGCTGCTGCCGGTATTCATTCAGCAAAAAAAAAAACCAATTCGACCATTATATTACTGCGTTATTACGCAAATGTACTGCGCGACTGCGACCGACTCCTCATGCGCGAAATAATATAGAATAGAACACACAGACAACAGTCATTGCTCGCGCGCGCGAGCTCAAGTGTATGCGCTCACAAATGGCATTATATCTTCCGAGTATGTGTGTGTGTGTGTGTGTTTACACACGATGATGCGCGCGCTTACCTAGAGCGAGCACTAAAAGTACATACTCGGAAATGCACAATAAGGCGCAGACACTTTCACTCCGACGACGTATGGCCGGCTGAACTCGCATTCTTATATTTTCATTCTCGTCCGCGCTCTGCTCTACTGCTCCTTTTTTTTCGTAGATAACTAATCTACTTTTACTCCGTGTGTACGTGATATTTTATTTTCTTCGCTGCATTTTAGAACGTTACCCTCCCGTATATTACATACATATACGTCCTTATCTCTCTCTCTTTCTCGCGCTCTCACGTTCCTAGGCTCGATTCGATGCAGCGGCGAGTCTCGATTGCACTCGGGGCGATTTCGCGCGACCGCGCGATACCGTACATATAATATTTTCTCGAAAAGCTGCCCACAACTCGCGGGGCCAGTACAGTAGGTATATAATAAACGGACGAACGTGATCGGGAGAAAAGTCACGATTGCGCAATTTTCCAATAACTCGACAGGCAGGATCGTGTCGAGCGGCGCTTCGTTGTAACGACCGAGCGCGTGTATACTTATATGTACCTCGTACCGGCGAAATTAAGATCGCCCGGCGATTTTTCTCGCTAAGCAATTTTTCGCGCGCGCGAGCACAATTGCGCGTCGTCGAGGTTTTACACGCTCGCGTGCGTGTGGGTTTCGGCACATTCGCGAGACATACATATTATATATATACCTTCCACCTCAGGTATTAAATCTTGTTTTAACTTATACCACTTGCAGATTTACAAATGAGGGTAATCGCCACCTAGCGACGAAGGCTTCAAGTATCGTAGCATTCGTCGGATATAAACTGGTGGAAAACTTATCTGAATTGTTTTGAAACGGTGATTTCCAAGTCATTTATAAGGCGCTCGATACTTTTAACATAATTTTAAAAAGTTTCAAATGGACATCGTTTGTCCATCGGATTATTATTATTAACGTTGAGCATTTTTACCAGACGCGACGCAAGCGCGTTTTTCGATACATCGATTCTACTTCTCGATCCTCGCGATTTCTACTCCTCGATGCATCTGTGTGTGCATACAACGATGCACGCGTTGCAGAGCTCGGTTGTTCAACGCGCTCAACAATGGAGAGCAGCAGCAGCAGCTGCTGCAATTTGCTTACATACACAACGCTCCGGCTTATGTATACCTATAATACGCCCGGCTCGCGCTAACCCGACGTATTGTTTTCGAGCAATTTTTTTTTCTTTTCGTCGACTTTCTCTCCGGCTTTATTATGCTCGTACATTACACGTACACGCGTGTGTGTGTGTATGCACGCGTATACGCATAAATCCAACAAACGTCTGTATATATCTACGTGTGTAAGCGCGAAAAAGTCAAGAGATACGGATATATCGTGGTGCGTGTATATATAGTACGTACGTGTATGTATACGGAGGTGTGTAACGGAGAAAAATTTCAAATGCTGTTGTGCAACGACGCCCCCCCGTCTCGACTTTGTGTAAATATGCTACGCGTGTGCAATGGATTTTCGACCGGTTTCGGTGCACGCGTGATAATACAACGCGAAAGTATAATGGTAACGAAATAATGCGTAACGTTATTACATTGTTAATCATGATCAATGAGCTTTTCGACTATACGCGATTGTCTGCTGTTAAATTTTTGCGATACGAAATTTCTATGAAGGTACTGTTACCTGAAACCTTCGTTGAAAGTCAATGTATCAGTACTGATTTTTTTTTTTTACATAGATTGTTCGAAAAACTCATGATGTGCATTTTTTTAAGCAAAAATGAAAGAAAAAATTTCATGTTTATACTCGAATTTAAACTTTTTGACTGAAAAGAAATTTTTTTACGTTACTCCAAAACTGTATACGAATATTTAATCTTAATTAAAACCACTCTCCACCGCTAGATGGGGAGTACCTTAGTCTGTGTATCCGCAAGAAGCGAAGTAAACATAATAGTATAAGTCAGTTGTACAAAAATAATTACATATTAATCCCCTTTGGAGTAAGTAATATGTCGTTCATAATATGCAGAAATACATGAAAATTAACCAAATACAATATTTTCAATGCAAAAATGAAAATAGTAGGATTAGTTTTAAGGGCTAATAGAAAAGTTTCCGTTGAAAGTAAGTGCTTCAATTTTAATACATTTTTGTGAATATATGAATAAAACCTACATAATTACAACTTTGACCACCAGATGGCGAGTGCCTTTATCTGTAAATCTGCAAGTGACAAAGTCGAAAAAATTGTATAAGTCAAACAATGGTGTCAAAAATCTTTCGTTTGTTATATGATTTATATAATGTCAAGAGTACAAAATTAAAAGTAACCACAAATGTGTATCCAAAGTATTAGTTATTGTGGAGAAAGTTTTCAACCTTACCTGTAAGAATCTTCTTTCAGGTAAAAGAATTAATGTTAATTAGATGTGAATTTAATTTAAAAAACTTTTACATTGAACTTGATGTAAAATTCTCAAGTTAAATGATTCATGAAAAGATATTTGATTCTAATTCAAGTCACATCAATCCAAAGCTTAATTCTACTTGAAAATGAATTCATCTCCACAGAAGAAAAAGACATTTTCCGCTTTTACATTAAATTCAATGTAAATTTTTTCAACGATGTACAGTATCAATTAACAATTTTTTTTTTTTTAATAATAAATAAAAAAATAATAATCTCATTTTTATTATCTCGATTTTATTACTCAAACAACGATCACAAAGACGCGCTTTATTACCCGTAATCGATCTATAATAAAGCCCTCGTAATTGTCAAAGTTTTCTAATTGACCGTAAAGTTCTTTTTTTACTGTTCGCTCGTTCGCTCGCTCGCGATGACTCGACCGACGCACTGTGCCTAGCACAAAAATTTCACGTAATTTCGAGTGTTTGCATTATTATACGCTATACCGAAGTTGGCATTCTCATACATCGTGCAAAAATATCGGAGTCATGTGTGTAGCGTAATACGAAAACATACTTTTTACGCGGGCGTAGTCGTGTCAATGAACTTTGAACGTATCGCGCGTACTGTGCATGTCTTTATGCGTGCAAAGCGATAATTATAATTAGCAGGTGCGTATTAATTTCTGCTCTTCCTGCATATTTTTGTCGCGCGGGTCGACTCACGAGATCCAAGCTGTATAGCTGCGTATGGTGCATACTATACGTGTATTTATTTACGCGTGCGTGCAATTATTCGACGACTCGAGTGCCTGTCTGTCTCTCTCCCGTGCGTGGATGCTTGCGATACCGTATTTCTTATAAGCTAAGACGTAAATCATACGATACTCGAAAAAAAAACGATCGAATCTGTATTGGTGTATATATCACTGCGCCACGCGGCTAAATTATACACATTACCTACTTTGTATGATATCTGTAAGAATTCGAGCTGGCCACGCGCGTGTTGCATTAGGTATAGAGCTGCGTGTCGCGTGGTCATCATTGAAGCATCCGCATATAATATACGCGATGTACTATGTTTACGTCGAGCAAATTCACTTTTAAATTACGTCTTTTGCTCTCTTTTAGGTATCCGTAATGTACGCTTTTTATTAGTGCGCAACATTGTATACATAAATGCGCGACTCGATTCCGCACGCTCAAAAGCCATTCGTATAATTGCAGCGAGAAAAAGATTTATACGGAGCAGAAAAGAAATCAATTTTCGAGCCTAAGCTTACGTATATGCAGTGTAACTGATCGGGAGTAATACGATGTTTTACGTGCGGCTCTTTGAACGCGCTGCAGTCACGTCGAAATCGTTCGTACAGCATTCAAAGCAGCACGCGAAATTCGGACCCCTTTTTTTTTGAAAAATTACGTATTATCCGAATGCGCAAAAGGGTGGAGAATTCGTCGATCGCGTCACGGTATTTATGAACACGCGCGTGCACCAAAAAAGGACTCAATCACTGATGTACAAAAATTGTTTTGCGCATACATTTTTTGTGTTAATGCTGTTTTTATGTAAAAGTACACTAGAACTAGGACAAATCATAAGCTCGATTCAATAAAGTGATCAATAATTTATAATTTCTTTGTAATAAGATACAATTCAAAGAAAATGACTAATTGTTTATTACACCGGAAATCAATACTATAATTTCTCCAATAATAAATGATAAGCTTAGAGTGTCTCTGTTGACATAAATTTTCTCACACTTTCATTTTACGATTTGTAAATATTATTACATTTACAAGTTACCTAGTTCGAGGTGTAACATCATTACAGAACAATTAGTCGTTGATCAAGTTCCGAGTGATAAACATGGACTTCAGTGATGTATATAACTCTGATGTCAGGTAATTTATGTTTCGTGAAAATAAAATTTAAAAAAAAATGGCATAATACTTTATATTATTGGAAATATTGCAGAGTGAAGGAGGAACCAAATGATGTTTCCCCAATTGAAAATGAAGATTATAAAATAATTGACAATGCATGCGATGCTAAAAACAACGAATTCTCGAGTTTTTGTCGAGAAAATTTAGTAAGTGTTGATGTGGGATTGTTTAGTCAATATTTTTATCAAGTAGTTTTACTAATTTCATTTCCAGATTCATGGGCTTAGAGAATATGATGAAAATTCTGCACCTAACGACGATTTGGAAATAGAATTCGAATGTAAGGATGAGAAGCTCGGCATTAACTTATTAGTAGTTAAGAAAATCGAGGACGATTATCCAGATCATTTGCAGTATATGAAAAATAGTTGCGATTATCAGACTCAAAAGAAAGTTAAAGAAGAAATTGTCGACGAAGTAAAAGAAGAATTAAATTTGGATGGTGAACTTGATGCAAATAGTCTATGCAAAACCCAAACTGATAAGGCACGCAATCATACCAAATATCCATGTAATGTATGCGGTCAAAAATTTTCACAAAAAGGTAATCTCAAGGTCCACATCGCTGCAGTTCATAATGACGCCAAGCATACATGTGTTACATGTGGAAAGACATTCAAACAAGAAGCATATCTCAAAATTCACATCGATGCGATTCATAATGATATGGCACCAACTTGCGAAGTATGCGGGAAGAAATTCTTAACTGAAGCTGTACTCAAGATCCATATCGATGGAGTACATAATGGTGTTAAACATGCGTGTGATGTATGTGGAAAGACATTCACACAAAAAGGACATCTCAAGGTTCACATCGATGCAGTTCATAATGGTGTTAAACATGCTTGTGGTATCTGTGGAATGACATTCAAACACAAAGATACTCTCAAAAGTCACATCGATGCGATGCATAAAGGTATGGCACCTACTTGCGAAGTGTGCGGAAAGAAATTTTTAACTAAGACTTCACTCAATATCCACATCGATGCAGTTCATAATGGAGTCAAACATACGTGTGTTACATGTGAAAAGACATTCACACACAAAAATAATCTCAAAATTCACATCGATGCGATGCATAAAGGTATGGCCCCTACTTGCGAAATATGCGGAAAGAAATTTCAAACGAAGACTAAACTCAAGGTCCATATCGATGGAGTACATAATGGTGTTAAACATGCGTGTGGTGTATGTGAAAAGACATTCACTCAAAAAGGACATCTCAAAATTCACATCGATTCTATGCATAAAGGTACGGTACCTACTTGCGAAGTGTGCGGAAAGAAATTCTCAACTAAGACTAAACTCAAACTCCACATGGATGCAGTGCATAATAAGATAACTCACGCATGTGATACATGTAGCAAAATATTTACGCTGAAATATAATCTTAAGAAACACATCGATGCGATGCATAAAGGTATGGCACCTACTTGCGAAGTGTGCGGAAAGACATTCTCACTAAAGGGTAATCTTAAAAGACACATGAATTTGATGCATAATAAGATAACTTATGTTTGTAATACGTGTGGCAAGACATTTTCACAAAAGGATAGTCTTATAATTCACATTAGAACACAACATGGAGACATTGATCACGCAAGTGTTTAATGCAGAAAAAAAGTTACACATAGGAGATATCTACATATGCACGTCAAATGTATGCATGATGTCAATACCCAACCACGAGATCAATGCAAAAGATCTCAAAACGTACCTATCAATACCGCGCAAAATGATTTAACATCGAGACAAATGAGTGGTTATAAAACTTTCATTGAGATAGCGCATCACTCACGCATTACCACCTAATAAATGTATAAAATGTACATTTAAATTTTGTAAAAAACAATTACTATTATATTTTGGATTACTCCTGTGTTTTCCATCTCACTGCTTACTAAACGATCGAGTTTTAAATAAATTAATAAACTTTTTATTACAAAAAAAAACATGTTTCATTTCAATCAATCTATCTATCATTTTTATCAATCTGTACAGTTTTGTTAATCATACAAATCATGAAATGAGGATTTTTGCAGAAGATGTATTTTGTATAAAATGTCAAGTTAATTATTTATAATGGCCAGTTTTTTTAATAATAAATGAAGTATAACGCTGAACACTCAAACACACACAGACACACACCTTACCTGTCCCGTATGAATTCATGTATGTTATATACAAAGCAAAAAGCTTCGTCCAACCTCCCTCGTGAACGCCGAGTTATTATATAACGGCGTGATATTGATTATTATTAAAACATCGGCAGCGACGATCTATATGTACTATACGTCCCAAAGAGCAGTTATATACAATGTATGTATACATACATGTATACTTTTTTGTATTTATTACACTATTTATTACACTAGTGGCAACCATAGTTGCAAAATGCTGAGCGACTCAATGTTAAATAACAAAATAGCATATGACATTAGTGTAATATTTGTTTCAGCCTTATGAAATTAATAATAGTAGCTTCAATGAGTATCACAATAAATCTATATTTCAATGAGTTTTTTGTGCATGAGTTATTGCAGTTAGAGTAAAACATCAAAAATTAGCAATATCGAATGTGTTCGCAAAAAATAACCCAAAAATAACGCAAAAAAATATATATATACAAAATTTACACACGAATATTGGTGCAAAACTCAAAATTGCATAAAAATGCATTTTTTGCCTTATTAGGATACACAGATGTTGCTAAAAAATATACAGCACTCCGTTAACACCTTAAGAATGCTATGTAAAATTTTCAGATCGATTGATTTATCCCTGCATGAGTTATCGCAGTTGGAGTAAAACATCGAAAATTAGCAATATGGAATGTGTACAACTTTGCTGCGCTCAGCATCAACAATTATTATTCATATATGATTTATTTTGTATACTTTATACGAACACGCTTCTATTATTTATATTTATTTGATTATTGTGGTTCATTTTTTATGATTGTCTTTCTTTAGCGAGCGCGGGTATGTGCGCGCATCAGAAGTCATCGATGATGAGGTTGCGTGGTCAAGAACACATGTTGGATAGCATTTGACATCTGTAAAGCTCGACTTGATTGATCAGCAAGTTTATATTTTCAGTGTTTTTTCGGTAAAAATGAGATTTCGCCGCATTATCTTAGCTCGTATCAAAGATTAAAATTAATGTTTCATTTGAGTACATTTTTGCGAATTCATGAATAAAACCTTCATTATTAAAAACTTCGACACTAGATGGCGAGTAGCTTTAACAGTAAATCTGCAAGTGACAAAGTCGAAATAATTGTATAAGTCAAAGCAGTTCGAAATTATCATCTGTTATGAATATTAATTTTTTTTTTACCCACGTTTTATTTGCAATCTGTCAAGTATACATAAGACAATAAGCAAGTAGAGATATCATGATGTATAAAAGCATTCTGAACCAGTGTTCATCCCACACGAAATTTAACTTTAACATAGGATTAATACACTAAATTTTTTTTTTTCATGTAAATTGTTTCTCAAGTTGCCATCTCTTTAGTCTTGAGGGTGGTAATTCTAGAGCCAGCGGATTTGAATGCTCGTCTGTTTTTGTATCTTGAGAAAACAGTTTTTATTCTGTTAATAAATAGAAGAAGATATAATAATATATCTAAGAAATCAGTCGATTCGGAGCTAAACCCAAACCGAGTTCATTTTTGACCTCCCTGGTCTCCAAGCCTCAATCAACTATTCGAGGACCACACATCTTCTTGGACGGAACAACCCAGAAAGCTACGAGTCCCGCAATGCAAACATTCCGAAGGTTTGACACGATGAGCGCTGGCAAGAAAGAGAATCCTACGTAGTATAATTGGATTTCAATCGGATAACTTTGGATAACAATAGATATCGGAAATTTGCAACGATCAGACGTAGAAAGTTCGGCAAAATTCACAAGTCAGTATACAAATAAAAGATAAGTCCCAGGCCAATGCGATGAAAACAAATTTTCAATGCGAGAGCGAGGGGATTCCGATTCCTCGCCCTCGGAGAAATCAATGGGAGACAAATAAAACACGGTGTAAAATCGACATTGATAACAGTTATACTGCAAGTATTTATTCAGGGCAGTCGATGAGGTTACTGCAATCTAGCATCGTGACTTTTTTTAAGAGAGAAAGAGAAAGATAGAATTATTTGTACGATCGGCTGAGCGATTATCATGTACGTATAGCAGCTATCTTTCTCTCTCGGCAAAACGTCTCTGCGTACCATGAATTATACAGCTGCATGATTGCCGGGATTAAAGCTCGAGGCTCTGGCATTAAAGAAAAAAGAAAGAAATCTTCGCGCTAGCGAGGCGCACATCGTAATTGTCGATTTTCTGACGATCTTCGTCGTCGTCGTCGTCGTCGTCTTTGCAGCGACCGCAGATCCCAACGTAAATACAGTATCTATCTATATTATAAAGCATACACGTCGTCGCGCATATAATACATAACTCCGGAGACGCCGATAGATTAAATGTAAAATTCCAATGCGCGCGAATCTTTCGGGATGTATTTACCGTAACGCTATATAACGAATCACGCGACGTCCAAGAAAACGATTTTGCGTATATATTTAAATTCACGACATCCACCTTTATAGTCGACGTCGAATCCTGCCTTGTCTCAAAGCTCGATCACGTATTACGCTCGTACACACTGCCTACACGATACGATATATAAAAACGTATCATCGCTGCCATAAATCAGCGACACATTTCTACTCGCGATTGCTTCGATAATACACATAACGCAGCGTACCGGTCGCATTCGCATTCGCGCGCACGCAAAATATACACGAGGTAAAAGTCTCTCTCGCCGAGATAGTTGCGTGGGCGTGTATTATATCGCTCGTGTTGCATGTATAAGCAACTCTCGCTCGAGTATATAGATGTATATGATCCACGCACTCGGTTTTAAAAGGCCGGGCATTGAAATCACCAGCAGCGCTGCGTATACGGACATGGCTATTATTATATTATGTACTATCTGCGAGGTCAAGACTCAGAGTTACATATACAAGGATCGGTACTTATATGTAGGCTCGACTTTTTGGAGCTGCAAATCGGCAGCTTTATAATAATATTCTAAAATACTTATACATGTAACATGCGCGCACGCCGTGGCACATATATATAATACAGCCTGCATTTATATATACTGGTATTATATATAGGATGTATCCTTTAACACGCGTACTATATACTGTCCGTGATGAAAACATCGGAGCGCGAGCCGCAGCCAGAACCTACACACATATAGTACAGTATATATGTGTATAGCTCGGCTCCCTTTTGCATCGGCGCGTGTTCATTTCTCCGTTTTACGTGTACATAAACTGCAGAGGCTCGCGCTCCGCGTCTGCGCACGATTTGACGTTTGGCATGTGAGCCGAGATTTCGCGATCGCTGTGCGCACTGTAGCTCGTAATATTGTTCTTAATTTTTAAGGCAAAAATTTTGTCTTTCGCAAATTTGCGGCTAGTTTTAAATTCCGTCAAGTGTGTTACACAGACACACGCAGAAATTCCATAACGAGGACGATCCGGTTGACCAGCGGACGACGATATAATACCTGCTTCGCTCGAAAGAAGACGAAGCGAGAAGACGAACGAGAAGCAGCAGCAGCAGCAGCAGCAGTGAGTGTGGAAAAGGAACGAGAGAGTTTGTGACGGGGAAAAAGGTGCCAGAGTGTATACATGTAGCTTGCTCCTCGCCAAAGAGAAAGAGAGAGAGAGAGAGAAAAGGAGGCGAGACATATCTATATGTACAGAAAATAACTGTTCAACCTGAGTAAGCCTGATGCTGCTGCTGCTGCTCTGCCTTCTTGTAAGCGCGTGTGTGTTGGTGCGCATACACACATAGACATTTACGTGTGTGTATGTGTGCGCGCGCGTTTACTCGCGCCTAGACACTTTTAATCGTCTATTGGTACTCCCCGCGTGCCTTCTATATATGCTACGTATACGTGTAGTGGAAAATCCGTTACAATATACTACATATATACGTACGTATAGAGACAGGCGCGCACGTTATACATACACGTACATGTACAGGAGACTTTTGTACCTCGAGAACGAGGTGTGCGCGCACGACGATTCGCGCCTTATTGTTTTGTATTTTCATCTGTACATTTTATAAAAGCGCAATTATTATTTAACGCGTAGACTCACCTCGTTAAAAATATAAAAAAGAAATTTTAGTCTTCTCTTTTTTGTCTTCTCTCTCTCTCTTGGCCCTCTTTTTCTGCAGCGATGACTTTGGGTCACTTCATAACTCTTTTCTTATGTATGCACTCGCTACACCTCACATTTGATTGCACTTATTTTTTTAAAGCATGGCACACGAGCACACGTGATCCAGCCACATCGATGCCAATTAAATCGACGCACACAACACACACAAGCCGCAAAATCACGAAAATTTCATCTTCAACGTGCAGTCGTGCTTTTGGCCGCGACCCGTCTCGCCGCTGCACTGTCCGCACTCCGCGGCATTGCCCGCGCGCACTATATACGCGATGCGGCGGTATATAATATGCTGGCACGTATCACTCCGAGTATACACACACACACTCACACACGCACACACACGTGAGAGGAAGACACGATGTCAGTGGCGAGCAGCGAAACAAACAAACAAACAAAAAAATGAGAGTGACACTCGATCGTGTTTATATACGTGTGCGTGATATATATACGGAAAACGAGCGGTCGATTCCTCTTGTGCTTCTGGTGCAGGTCGTCGTGGTGCGGTAGATCGGCGCCGCAGCCGCTGCCTTAAGCCCACCGCCGTCGTTTGTAACGACCGATGCACGTCTGAAGGTATGCGAGCACAAAATGTAGCCTCTTACCTGGGCAAAAGAGAGAGAGAGAGAGAACTGCCTCTAGGCGCTCCTC